AAAATTTGACATCATTCGAAAGATTTACGATTCCGAGAACATCAGAAAACGTCATTGACTCGGCATTTTTATTATGATAATCAGACACGCGTTGCTTAGCTTTGGGCAAAGTTTCATCCCGATCTAATGGCTGGGCTTCAAGCAGGAGGCCTTTCTTTGCAATCAGTCGATTCTAATCTAGGCCACATCGCACATCAAGAGAATTTTGTTTTTGGGATTTCACAAAAGCTGAACTCTCTATTTTTATGGAACTTTTGAAACATTGTTAGCATTCGATTGGCTATTAGGCAGTTTTTATCCAAGTTTTTATTCTGTTTTGATGAATTTAAGTTGAGCTATGAACAAAAGAGCGAAACAAGTGCGTTACAAAATAGACTCTCTAGAAAATGTTTCAGAAAAGAATCCAATTGAGAAATTGAGAAACTTTTTCTTACCAGTATTCTTTATCAACACCTACAGTACCGGCCAAAATTATATCCTCTCCAAAAAAAGTGTCCCCTCTTTGGAGGCTTATAACATTGTGTCCAGTCATCGTAAAACCATTTGCCATAGAGATTCTGGAAGCTCTTTTTTAGCTCTACAAGATGCCCTATAAGACTTTTAAGAATGCGAAAAGCTGAGACAATTTTTATTGGCTTGAATCAGAGGGAAAAATTTGTGTGCCTTTCAAAGCGATTTTTATCTATCGTCGACCCTTCGAAACAATTTTAAACTGTGTTTTTTAAAAAAGCCATTAAAAAGCCATTAAAATTGTATCAACTTTTCGCATTCTTAAAAGTCTTATAGTGCATCTTGTAGAGGCTAAAAAAGAGCTTCCAGATCTATGGCAAATGCTTGAACGATGACTAGACACAATGTTACAAGCCTGCAAAGAAGGGACACTTTTTTGGAGAGGTGTCCATTTTTGAAGAGATGTGAATTCAAGCCATTAAAAATTGCTCGGGAAATCTCATCTCAGGAATAGATGGGCTAGTAAATAACAAATTGCAAACAAAAAGGCAAAAAATCAGTCTGTGAACGGATCCGAACCAGAGTCAAAAAAGCAAAAGTGAGATCAAGCGTGCGCACACTTACCACCACACCACACGGTCACGTTTTGACGGAAGGGAAAGAGCTTATAGAGTACCAGTCGAAATTATATCCCCTCCAAAAAAGTGTCTCTTCTTTACAGGCTTGTAACATTGCGTCTAGTCATCGTTCAAGCATTTACCATAGAGATTGCGCATCCTTAAAAGTCTTATAGTGCATCTTATAGAGCTAAAAAAGAGCTTCCAAATCTATGGCAAATGATTGTAATATGACTAGACACAATGTTACAAGCCTGGAAAGGAGGGACACTTTTTTGGAGGGGATTTTGACCGGTATTGTATTCGGTTGGGGAGAATGAGTCGGCGCCGAAAATGAAAAAAATGTCTAAAACTTCAATTCGACTTCGTCAAATAATATGCGTTTGATATGAGTAGAATGGTTAACTAATTCTCTACAAAATGACATTTAAAAGAAAATTCAAACAGCGCCTCCGCTCAAGAAAAAGCCATTTTTTCACAAAAACTACAAACTGTGATCTAGAAAAAAACCATTGGTGGGATCTTCCTGCAAATTTGGCAACTTAAGTAATTGAATGTGCTCTACCTTTTTTATATAAACACCAAAGAAGGTTTATGTGAAAGAAACTGTTCAAATGATGAGTCGGACTCTTTGCCATTTTAACCAGCTGCGTTTCGAAGTTCATAAACTCCACGAAAGAAAAGCTTTGTGGAATCTCTCAAAAGTGATTTTGTAGAGAAATAGTGGATCCTTTTGATCAAACCAAACGTATGTTTAAAGAAGGCTTTATGTGTGCAAAAAGTCCCTTTAAAGTTTGGCGCCGACTCATTCTCCCCAACCCAATAGATAAGCTATTGTAGAATCCCTAGCATTACTAAATGAACTTTTAGTCATTTCAAAATTTGCTTTTTTCAGTTTCAAGTTGCTTTTTTGATAATTTGAAATGCTGTATTGTTCAAATTATCTTTTTCAAAGTATTTCCTTCAAATTGCCACAACATTTCATAAAATTTCATAAAATTTCAGCTTCTTTCACGCTTTCATCTTTCTCACTTACACGATTCTCGTTTTGATCTATCGAAATCTGCATCTCACACAGCCTTGGCTTTCTGTTGGAGGCGGAGTCACTTTTGTAAGATCTTTAGTTAGACCAGTTAAAAGAATATAATAAAACTCAAATTAAAATGCAACTTTTAATAATCCAATGTCTATTCTCAGCGTCCAATGTCCATTCTCAGTGTTCAAAGTCCATTCTCAGTGTCCAATGTACTTCACGGTGATCGCTCCCTGGATAATCTATTGGATTGTGGTGAAAAGCGAGAAAAGACGAGTCAACGAAACGAACAATTTAATTGATTTGGAGAAAATGGCAAAGATTATCTACTTTGAGAACTATCAATCACAATGGAATCCGAGAAATCTTTTCACTTACAAGTTTGAGAACTTTAAAGAGCTAATAAAACAAGAACTTTTAGGTCGAGCAACCTTTTGATCACGTTTTGGAGAGCGAGAAGCCGGAAGATTTTCTTTTCATAACATATTTTACTTATATCACAAAATAAACTACTACAAGATCAAGTTTTAAATGGAAAAACCCATTTTTATAATATACCAGAACACTACAGAGATTAAGCATTAATAAAAAGGAAAACCTGTTAGAGCTTTCGTTTTTCGTTGTGTTCAAAAAGCCGAAGAGCTCTAGATGTTGCCAAAGCAAGATTTTAGACGACAAGTATTAGGTACATGCATAAGAAATGCGGATGATTCATTTCAAGAAATGATTTCAACATTTTCATAAATTTCCAACGATAGAAACGTGATATCGATGAATGTTATAAACTATTTGAAAGTTGTAAATCTCCTCTACAAAATAGGCTAAAACGTATTTCAATTGATCGAATCATGGAAGAAATTTCGAGAACGAAATGCGAGTGACCAGACTTTACTGTACTTGTGCCTCTTTCCTCCAGGTGCTCGGGGCGACACCCGCTTTGCCTTGCCTTGTGGCTTCGGCGCGGACTAAATTTGCGGATGACCCGTTTTGGCTTTTGGATCAAACGATTTTTGATGCAAAACCGAAAATGTCTATGTCCACGGATTTTCGGGAGTAGCATTTCTGTATTATTAGGTTGATGCATAAGTCTTTTCGTTCCTTTTCGTCTGCCGTTTCAAGCCAACAAATGCACGAATTAAACTACGGTTGATTTCATTAGAAAAAGCAATTATTTTTCTGCAAAATAACATTAAAACGGGTTTAAAAATATTGAATGCCTGGATTTTCTTGAGAGTATGAAGTCGGGTAGTCAAAAAGGGCTAACTCGATGATGCGGTTTAGACACCTTAGCTAAAGAAAACCTATCTTCGTGTCAATAGATAAAAGATAGAGAAAAAAAACGTTTGATATTTCGCCAAAATTTCAGAGAAATTCATTCAGCCAATTTTTCCGTAGAGTTTTTTATAGATTTTTACGAAAAAGGCGTTTTTCACTCTCGAATTTGCTTCAAAGTCAACCGAAATTCATTTAAAAAGATGCAAATTGAACAAAAAAACACTTTTTTTATAGAGCAAACTATAGATTAATTCGTGAATTTGTTACTTTTTAACAGAAGTACGAAAAAAACGAAAAGACTTATGCATCAACCTATTATTTGAAAGTTGTAAATCTTCTCTACAAAATAGGCTAAAACACAAAATAGGCTGTTCCAATTGATCGAAGCATTGAAGAAATTTCGAGGGCGAAAACGAGTGATCAGACTTTCCTGTATTTGTGCCTCTTCCCTCCAGGTGCTCGGGGAGACACCCGCTTTGATCTTGACAGGCCTTGACGTGGCTTCGAAGTGGGTTAAATCTGCGGACGTCCCGCAAAGTTAACGCGAAAGAGAACCCCGATTATGCACCCGCTGTGTGCCAGATCGCGCACGATTGTGGGTCCCCACAGAGACCCCTCGCGGCTCATTGAGAACTCATTCTTTCTCCTCAAAATCAGTATTTCGGCTCGATTTTGATTTGAAAAGTTGAAAAGTTCAATTACTCGTTCACTTTGATTTAATCATCACTCTCTAAAACACACAAAACTCTCTACAAAATTGGGTAATTAAACCAAATTGGAAACAAAAAAAAGAGGAAAATCGAGTTTGGTTTCTTCTCCTTTATCCCTAAGCCCTTTATCCCAAAATTTTCACGTTTTTGTAATCGCACGCCTTCTGGTACACGGCCCTGGATGTGCCTTCTGGTACACGACTCTGGATGTGCCTTCTGGTACATCCAGGGGATGTGCCTTCTGGTACACGGCCCTGGATGCGCCTTCTGGTACATAGCCCTGGATTTGGGGTCGCATTTGGGTAATTAACCGAATGAAATACTCAAAAATAGAGCAGCTTTCTTTAAAAACCAAATACAGATTCGAATTCGTTGACCCTGAAAAACCCTGAATGCAAATTTTCAGCTCAACCTCAAAAAAGTGCTAAATCCACGTACAGTCCACCGGCTAGATCGTCGCAAATCTGTTAAAGAAAAGCCTAAAGTTTCAATAACAAATATGCCAATTTCTGAAAATGACTGAACCGACCGAAACTCTTTGGCAAGAATGAAGCAAATGAACGCTTTGAGATGCAAATTTGAAACAATTTGAAACAATTTGAAGCCGAATGCAAATTTGGATTAGTGCATTAGTTGACGAAGCTATTTTTGTGGTTTTTTAGCTTTTGGATCAAACGATTTTTGATGCAAAACCGAAAATCTCTGCCCGCGGATTTTCGGGAGTAGCATTTATGTAAAATGGAATAAATTTCCTACAAAATTAACTTATTTATACTAGCAATATTTATTTATTACTTTTAATTCAAAAGCTAACAATTCAAAGCTAACAATTCAAAGCTAACAATTCAAAAGCTTTATTTAATGTCATAAGACACTGAAAATCAACAATAAAACAATAAAAACAAGATTGGTTACGCTGAAAGTTGTCAGTGAGTTGTTCTCAAAAGATTCGTTCTTTCGTGGTTCATCAACGGCCAATAGCTTTCTCTCGGACGTCAAAAACTAAACATTTTTTCATTGTTGCGACTTTTAGATAAACTGTTTCAAGTAATTACTTGAATAGATTCGCGTAAGTAATTCTTTTACTCTCTCTTTTACTCTTTTACTTGAGTAACGCGTCAAGTAGATCTCAAGTAATCGTATTCTATTGTTCAAATAGACAATTTTATTACTATTCTATGCTTTTGAAAGCTAATAACTTTAACTAAAACTCTCTGAATCGATCTAGCAAAGAACCAAAGATTTTTTAAGCAAACTTTAACTTGAGCCGGGGTCGAACTTGCCGCTTAACAACTGTTCGCTTTAGAGACAAGCACTAGACACAAGACAAGCCACTAGACTAGCCGTTAAATTGCGGGTTTCTCTTTGGAAAGCGTTTTAGAAAGCAATTAATTGGAAAGAAGACACTCTAGGCTTAAAGCTAGCTCAAAAATAGAAAGAATTGTACCTTAGAATCCTTACAAATTAGCACACAACCAGCTCTTCTCAATTTTAAAGCTATAGTATTTATCTACAGCTGGCTAACAAAATAGAACTCAAAATCGAAGTTCTTGAGAACCGTAACCCTCTATTTTACATTACTGCATAATGCAGATTTGATTAGATTTGGATAAGGACAAAAATCGCTTATCGAAAGACTACTATAACTGTAAACTACTGTAAAGCTACAGTAGACTCTGCTGTTTTGGACTTTTAAAACTTAGCAATTAAGTATGTGAAAGCATTTCATGCAAAACCAACGTAACAAAGCTTTATTCCTAAGAAAACAAAGAGAAATTGCACCTGTACGAGTAAAGCGATAAATAAAAAAAAAATAAAAACAAATGCTTTGAAATGAAATCTTGATTAGTTCGAATTAAGTAATTTTAAGTAACTTTAAATACTTTATCATTTGCGTAGAGGAATGAGAGACCCTCGAATTTTTGGTTCTCCATCGGGATCTCCGTCTCGTCGATCAGAATTTTGCCGGTTATGTCGAAAACCTAAGTGAATGAGTGTTTTGAGTCTTTTTAAATTTCTGGCTCTATTTTGGGCTCTTTTTCGAGAATTGTGGCCATTCACGGTTGACGCAAAGTAGGTACGAAAGAGGAAGAGATCCTGCAGTAAGGTAGGTCAGGACTCAGAGTAGCCCAAGATTAAGTTATGACGTCAGGAGGACCGCTTAGGGAGTACCTGCCTTTTGGCCATGCTCTGGGCATGTTTTCAAGCATTCGACGGTTCGAAAGTTCAAGTGTTTGGGTGTTCGAGTGCTCGAGAGTTTTTTTTTCAAGAATTGTGGCCATTCACTTTTTATGAAAAACACAGTACTTACTGATTATCGGGGGAGGGGGCAAAGTTTGGATAGAACTTAGTTGGACACTCCTCCGATCCTTTATGGGTTGGGGCTGGGAATAATGGTCAAAATAGTACAAATGAATACAATGGTCGGCGCCGGGATTCGAATTCGCCGGGATTGTGGTGGGTTTACCCCTAAACCCAAGCCCAGGAACCCACACAAAAGGGGAAACCGCGCCCAACTCTGACCAGGCAGATCCAGGTCAGACATCAGGTGGTCTAGTTTGGCAAACCCGTAAACTATCTGCAGCAAAGCCAGCCCAGCTTCTGGTTTCACCAAACTACAGGCGAACTTCGATATAAAGAACCTCAAGGGATCGGCCAAAACGTTCGTTGGATCGAAGTGTTGTATCGACGGTCATTTTAAGGTGAAGCCCTTTGTTTGGACCAAAAATAGTGGTCGTTATATTGTGCGCTTCGTTGTATCGAAGTTCGTTATATCGAAGCTCGCTATATCGAAGTTCGATTTTATTTAACATTTAACAGCTAGCATTTAGCAATTTGCTAAATTTAGCTTGGTCCTAGCTTCCTGGCCAAGGGACCGACCAAAAAAAACCTTCCGACCTTCCTGGTCTTGCTTTGCCCAAAAAAAAAAATTTGGCCTAACCCGGCGGTTTTTAATCCCAAGCCAAGTTAACACTCATCCCCGAAAAGCCGATCAGCACGGGGGTATGGCTCAGTGGCAGAGCATTCGACTGCAGATCGAGAGGTCCCCGGTTCAAATCCGAGTGCCCCCTATCTTTTGGTTTTTTAAGAAAAAATTTATGGAACAGCTTTGAGAGGCAGATTGTGGTCATTTTCGTTGTTTCTTGAGGCTCGAAAAGTTACAGGACATGGAAATTGTATTTAGAAGAGATTTTCTCCAGAAGCTTTTTCCGTAGTATGCAAAAATAGGCCAAGTTTATCCGCCTTGAGACTAGTCAGCCTGATATGCTAATTTTCTCACTAGCATTCAATTCAATTCTCACCATCACATACGATCTGAGTGCACTGAGAATTTCCTCGGTTTTGATGGCCATGATCAGTGTGTCTCCAGTGTCTAAAGATTGATTTTCTTTTGTTTCGGATTTTTGCTTGCCTGGCACAAAGTCGAACGCTGAGAACCCATGAGTAGCTTGTGGTTTCCCAACATTGATCGTTTCGATGTCACAGAAACAATCCGAAGTGATCATCATTAGATTAGCACCTGAAATCTTTTACTTAATCTTGTCAGCTCCGAGCCAAACTGATATTTTAGTTACTATTGTTATTTGATTTGTCTATTTGATTGAATGATTTGTCTATTCTTATGTAAATGTGATCTCCCCTGTGCTTATCCATTTCATCGCTGAGAAGGGGCGGTGCTTGGGATTGCCTGCTTGGGAATGCCTGCTTGGGAATGCCTGCTTGGGATTGCCTGCTTGGGATTGCCTGCTTGGGATTGCCTGCTTGGGAATGCCTGCTTGGGAATGCCTGCTTGGGATTGCCTGCTTGGGATTGCCTGCTTGGGATTGCCTGCTTGGGATTGCCTGCTTGGGATTGCCTCGGAGGACAAGTGAGGCTCTCACTTGTCCTCCTAGGCTTGGAGTCCCCGCTTCTCCTTCCACTCATTTGTAATCTATTCGTCTTATCGTACTACTGTAAATAAAGATACATATCTTCTATTCAACTGCAGTTCAGTACAGGTCATTTCACAGGGACTCTCCTCTAATACGTTAGAGGAGTTGAGTCGGGTTGTCGGGGTGTCAGAGATGGTGGGATATCAAAAAGGATTCGCTCTCTTTAACTTAACCCAAACTCTATCCATCTCCGTTTACTCCTAGGCACGAAGAATCTTCAAAAAGCTATAATAAAAAGAGTTTTGAGTCTTTAAATCTCTTATATCTTCTATAATCTTATATAAAAAGCAGGAAAGTCTCAAATTTCAGTCTAAACTCCAGTCTAAATTCCAGTCTAAATTCCAGTTTAAATTCCAGTCTAAATTCCAGTCTAAATTTCAGTCTAAAATTTCTCACCTTGTTTATTGTCACGTCGATATGGTGGACCTAGCGTTTTGGCGATTTGTCGCGGCAAGAAGAACCACTTTTTGTGAATCTAGATTTAATTTGAAGTTTTAGAAGTTTTAGAAGTTTTAGAACTTGAAAACTATATAAACTGTGTTAAAAGCTTGAAGAAAATAAAATTTTCTTCAAACTTTATATGATAAATAGTTTATAAATAGTTTTGTTTGTGATAAAATGACTCACTTCACTCCAGCGAACCGCTTCGTGGGTGACATAGCCGAGGGGATGAATCTAAGAAAAGTTTTCAATCTACAGTTTTCGATCTATTTGTATGTATTAGGTTGCTCGGATATAAACAAGCGTTGCTAAACTTATTGTTGTGAGAGAAGTTGTGAGAGAAGTTGTGAGAGAAGTTGTGAGAGAAGTTGTGAGAGAAGTTGTGAGAGAAGTTGTGAGAGAAGTTGTGAGAGAAGTTGTGAGGGAAGTTGTGAGGGAAGTTGTGAGAGAAGTTGTGAGAGAAGCGTTTAAAATATGGCTTTCTGTATTTAAAAGTACGTTATCTTGTGCATATTTGAAATCTTTTTAATAATATAATTTCTTATCTTTAAGTTCTTTTTTCTTGCTTTAGATGACCGACTTCAAATATCAAGTTCTGCCTACTTTACGACTTTAAACTAGGCAAAACAGTAGCGGAATTCCATCGAGATTTAGTCAAAGCATTTGGGAATGATGTACAATGATGTATTGTTCGAAAGCCGATGCCAAGCCTGGTTCCAACGCTTTCGGAATGGTGATGAAAGTCTCGGTCATGGATCGGAGGATCATGAAGGATCATGAACGCTCTCGTCGACCTCAAGCGGTAGACAACGATACTTTGTGGGCTGCAATCGAATCGGATCCATGTCAAACGACGCGTGAACTTGCTCAACAGTTTCTATGTTCAAATTCTACTATTGATGAGCATCTCCACGCCATTGGAAATGCGGGAAATGGCTTCCTCACGAGTTAAGCAGTTCAAACGCTCGTTTATATCCGAACAACCTAATAGATAGTAAACTAGATAGTAAACTAAATAGTAAGCTAAATAGTAAGCTAAATAGTAAACTAGATAGTAAACTAGATAGTAAACTAGATAGTGAACTAGATAGTAAACTAACTCTAAATAAATCTAATAACAAGTTTGGACTTTGTAGTGGAAAGTTTTCGTTCTTTTGTTGAGCAATTACAGGGATATAACTGGATTAACAACATTTTTCATTCCTCACGAGTTAAGCAGTGCAAACGCTCGTTTATATCCGAAAAACCTAATATTTAAGTATTTTTTCTTTTGCAAATATGGCTTTTATCGGTTTTCTTAGTTTTATTGAGCGATCCTTCGAGACTTACCCCAATTTTCTCACGCAACGCCACGTATTTTTCGGTCCAATTCATGTGGATCACGTTTCCATAGGGAGTGATTTTCTGTAAGTTTAGCGTTTCGAAAAAAAAGAGCTTTTGCTAAGCGTTTGAGAAGTTTGAGAAGTTGAGAAGTTTTAAATTTTAGCAAATTTCAAAAACCTATTAATTTAATGATTTTAATGCTCCTTTAGTTCAGCTGAACTGTTCAAAACTGAGAAAACATTTCGACTCTGCCTTATTGCCGCTGGAGTTTAAAACTGAAATAAAAACTAACTTATTAGGGTTCTAAAAAAAGTGTTCAACTAGGAGCTTATCGTGAAAAGAACTGCTTGAAGGGTGATCGTTTTAAGTGAAGTTTGAGGTGAGATTTCATCGTCATTCAATTCGCTGTCATTCGACCAAAAGCGATAGATTGATGTGACACTTGATTTCTCGAAAACACACATTTTTTTCTAATCTATCAACGATCAAATTCATTCAATCTAATCTTCGAAAGCTTCTACAGATTTTAGACTACATTATACTACATTATACTACATTATAATATACTAAAGAATTAAATGATTTGGTGAATCTTCGAAAAGAGATGAACAATTTAGAGATTCTGGATTGACCCAAATCGGCTCCGAATCGGCTCTGGATCAGCTCCGAATCAGCTTTGAATCAGCTTTGAATCAGCTTCGAATCATCGGCTCCGAATCGGCTCTGGATCAGCTCCGAATCAGCTCCGAATCAGCTTTGAATCAGCTTTGAATCAGCTCCGAATCATCGGCTCCGAATCGGCTCTGGATCGGCTCCGAATCAGCTCCGAATCAGCTCCGAATCAGCTCCGAATCAGCTCTGAATCAGCTCCGAATCAGCTCCGAATCATCGGCTCTGGATCGGCTCTGGATCAGCTCCGAATCGGCTTTGAATCAGCTCCGAATCAGGTTCGAATTGCCTCGAATCGGCTCCAATTTTCCAAATGATTAATCGGTTTAACGGTCAACCATTCTCACCTTTACAAACATTTGGTTGAGGTTCTCGATTTCTCCTTGATCTCCAAGAAATTCGGTTCCTATCGATCCCGCATAAACATTTCCGTCTTTCACCGTTAACCACTCGGTTTTAAACTCTGAATTTGGTTTGCTATAGCAATTTTTTCCCTTCTAGAACTAATTTTGGCTGAAATGGCTACGATTTGGTTATAGTAAATAAAATTTACATCAAATTTCAAGCATGAACAGACATAATAGAGTCATTTTTGACTGCTATCTTTACTCAATTAAGATTACGATCTATAACAATACGATTTATAACAATTACGATTTTGAGTGTCTGCAAGATTTTGGTAAAGAAAATAGGGACTTTTAAGGAATTTTAAGGAAAAGACGAGGCCTGTAAGCGAATAATGAATACCAGACGAAGCTGGTATGCTAACGGACCCAGTATGTACTGGTATTTTTCCCCAACGACAATAAAATCCTCACGTCTCTCATTGTTCCCGTCACCGTCGGCCAAATAAACCCAGGGAACGGCTGAATCGGCTTTCAATCTGAACAGAGAAAAGGGGAACGGAAAAAGAACGGACTCTCATTTCTTTTCCCCCTCCATCCAAACAACACTCTTTTACCCCGGGGCTCGATAAGACTCAGCCCCGAAAAGGCCAGCCACGCGGGGGTATAGCTCAGTGGCAGAGCATTCGACTGCAGATCGAGAGGTCCCCGGTTCAAATCCGAGTGCCCCCTATCTTTTGGTTTTTTGAGAAAAAATTTATGGAAAAGGTTTGAGGTGGAAATTGTGGCCATTTTCGTTGTTTCTTGAGGCTCGAAAGGCTACAGGACATGGGAATTGTCGCCTAGAAGAGATTTCTTTCTTCTCAAGGAGTATTCTTTCTGTAGTATGCAAAAATACATGGATTTGTGTAAAAAGTTACTAGTTCAATAATAATTAGCCTTCTTATACTTATAGATTTTCAAAGACTCTCATTGGTTGTGGTTCTTTCTTCATTGACTCTAGGTTCAAGGTTTGTGCTGTTAAACATCGCAGATCTATTTTCTATTTGAATTCTAAATAAAATCTCTAAATTTCTAAATGAAATCTCTAAATTTCTAAATAAAATCTCTAAATTTATTAGATTTTAAACTCTCAAATAAGAATAAGATTGGCCAAATGGGTTTCTAAAACGCAATTCCAAGATTTCTGCAGTCTCTCATTGGTTGTGGTTCTTTCTTCATTGACTCCCCTTTTCGGGACCGAGCTTTAACTTGCCTTGGTCTTAACTTGGCTTAAAAACCTTAAGCGCGGTTATACCAAAGGAATTCTTTTTTGGACAAAGCAAAGCCAGGAAGGCCACTGAGCATGACTAGAGTTTCCGGGGCTGAGCCTTAACTTGGCTTGGGATTAAAAACCTTAAGCGCGGTTAGGCCAAAGGAAAGGCCAGGAAGGCCAATTTTTTTTGGGCAAAGCAAGGCCGGGAAGGCCAGGAAGGCCACTGAGCCATACCCTCGTGCTGCCAGCTTCCTTGTTTTCACCCTTTTACAAAACCTCACTTGTAAACGAGTCCCGTTTTGTCATCAGGCGAGAGATAATCTCCGCGGAATTTCACCAAATCGCTTAACTGCATTCCCATTCCTTTCACATTCAGCTGAGTCGAGTAGTTCTTCGTGAGACTCCAATGAATTCTCAGCTAAACCATGATCTCTTTAAATGTTCATCAGTTCAGAATGACTGTTTGAGACTGACTGTCAGAATGACTTTTTCAATTCAGCTCACTTGTTTCCGACTTTCATCTCCGAACTCTAGAAATCCCGTCAAACATTTCGATTCCCAACGGAAAGGACCCGTTTGACTTGCCTGAAAGATTCAATTTAAAAAGTGCAACTTTTGACAGCATCTGGAAAACACTAGCTTAGATTTCAGTTCTCGAAGTTTAAACGAGTGTTTGTATTTCTAAGCAGATTTCCCAAAGACTTTAAGAAGCACTGATGGCCGAGTGGCATTGGATTAGATCACAAGATCTCTAGTTCAATTCATTAAATCCATAGAATCGATTGATCCATTGTGATCGATCCATTATGATCGATCCATTGTGATCGATCCATTAAATCCCTAGGATCGATCCATTGAACGGCTTGCAATAAGAATTCACATGAATAATGTGGTACAAACAATGCAAAAGCACAACCTCTGTTTCTGTTTCTGAAAAGTTTAAGGTCTCGGAGTTGCCTCGTGTTAGATAACAAGTCAGTAAATGATTAACAACACAAGAGAAAGGAAACGAATTCGTTTGAAGCTCACGTTTGAAGCTTCCCCTCTCTTCCCCTCTCTTCCCCTCTCTTCCCCTCTCTTCCCCTCTCTTCCCCCACGCAAGAATCGGACACGACTGGACATCCATAGCCAGGGTTGAAAAGAGAGAAAGAAAACGATGAATTTCCTACTTTGATATCAAATCTTTATCAAATCAAAATCTTTATTTGTAATACAGTAAACTGGTCTCTAGAAGCCTACGCCTAGTAAGCCTCACTACTTGACTAAAGTTCATTCATTAAGTCCGTTCTAAGGCATTGAGCGCACTCGCTTGCCCATAGTACAATCGAAATCTTGCCCAGGTCACCCATTTTCGATTACAAATCGAAAAAGTAATGCAAGATCTAAGAATATTGCATTCTTAGATCTTACATTATCTATTCACAAGCTGTGATAAGCTATCCAATGCCTCTATTTCTTTTTGTTCACTTCACCCTATCGGCATCGCTGCAGGAAACGAATCCATTTGAAGCTCACCAGATCGGCATCGCTGCACATAGCAAATGGATTTGTTCTCCGTTGTAATTGCTCTTTCCCTCCATTTCCCAACAGCTCATCTTTTGCTTTTGTTTTCATTTCGATTTCTCTTTCTGAAAATTTGCAATAGAAATATAAAAATTTACAAGTTTTACAAGATTTACAAATGAAAAAACTCTAGTTAACTTTAGTTAAACTGAAACTGAAAAAACTCTAGTTAAAACGCACTTAAATTTGACGGAGCCGCATTTGAAAAGAAGAAAAATGAGAAGAAAATCGAGGCGCCTCGGAGAAAAATCATCTTTGAGAAGTCTAAATCTCAATTTATAAGTTTAAAAAAATGAAAAATCGATCTAAAAACGTTTTTTTGAGTCCCAAGTGATCACTACCAGAAATTTGCATACATTAACTCTCGAAAAAGCTTTTGTTTTTCTTTGTTTTTCTTTGTTTTTCTTTGTTTTTCTTTGTTTTTCTTTGTTTTGTTTATTTTCAATCCAGTTCTTGTTTCGAGCGCTTTTCCGGCATTCACAGTGTTCTTTGAGTTATTCTTTATACTAAAGTATTGAGCTAATCTTTACAGTGGTCTTTGAGCATTCACAGTGTTCTTTGAGCTAATCTTTATACGAAAGTACAAACGCATTCCTCCTTCTGCACTAAATTAACTCAATTTTTCATTTGTTTCATGTCTACTTTCTAAAAGAAACATTCCAGTCAACTAGCGTAATCAAATTTTCGAGTTTCCAATCAAGTAGCTTCATTTTTCTTATTATTCGACAAATCATCACAAGATTTAGTTAAAATTAGATAAAAACTGAGCTAACTGAATGAAAACTGACGGTTTGATTACGGTAATTCTCTGGAATTGGTGAAAAATGAAGTAGAAATGAAGAAAATGAGGAATTGTGTGCACTAGAAAGTACCGTAAACACTCTAATAGAACGCCAGCCCCATAGTGACGAGCGTACAGTCGTGTAGTTTAACTTTGAACGTGCCGTTCTCCGCGCTGCTTTATGCTATAGACTTCGTTTGGGTGTCAAATGATAGCTCTTGAAATCTAGTATTTTTTGATACCAAAAATGTAGTTGGGAAAGATCTAGAAGCTGAGAAAAAAGAAGAAGTTCTAAAGATTCTAAAAGTCTAACTTCTTTAAACTACGCGATTGTACGAGAGAGTGGCTTTCTATTCGAGTATTTACGATATGTGTATTACCACTTTTCAACTACAAAGTACGACTTGTAAAGGCAAAGTTTTGTAAGAACAAAAAATTGGAACAGAAATCTTTGGAATTTCTAAATTTCTGAATTCTAATGCCTGAAAAAATTAACAAAAACTCACTCTTTACCTAGAAAAACCAAAAAATGCAATTAATTTGTCAGAATCAATGAAAACAAAACCCACTAAAACTCTTTTTCATTGAATAAAGTGTAGCTGAACAACTTTTTTGGGTCCTTGCGTAGTTTCCGGGTATTTTGGACGAGTCGTCACGCTTTGAAGGCCTATAACTTTGTCCAGAAATTATATTTTTGTTAGCTTTTTATATCATTGTACAAAGGACATTTCAGCCTTTCAAATGATACCAAATAAAGCTTGATTTGATAATCCAATGCAAGAAAATCAGAGCCAACTCTGAGCCAATTAGGTTTATCCAACTCGGGTGTCGTTTCACCTTGTTTTCTTGCATAGAATTATCCAATCAAACTCTATTTGGTACCATTTGAAAGCTTGAAATGTCCTCTGTACAATGATATAAAAAGTTAACTAAAATATTATCTCTAGACAAAGTTATAGGCCTTCAAAGTGTAACGACTCGTTCAAAATATCTGGATTCTCTCAAAAAAAACCAGGATTCTTTCAAAATACCCGGAAACTACGTAAGAGCTTTTTGTTAAAAATTCATTAGCAAATTACCTCTTTTATTGATGAATTTGTGCTCCGAAAACTTTACAAAACTTGTCCTCTCATCGTTTTCTGATCGGAATTGTCTGAATCATCAAAGCTTTTCCCATCAAAAATCAATGAGAAACTTTTCATTCACATAAATTATTTGAGAAAGCAAACGTCAATGTGAAAGAAAAGGTTTGAAGATCGGGAAAGCGTTTGAAATTTGTGAAAGCGAGGAAGAGTTACAATTTATTCAGATATCAGTCCGAAATTTGAGCTAAGTATGGTTCAAGGTTTAATCCTCAAGCAAGAAATTATCAAGAATCAAGAATAATCTACCATAGTTTTTGAAGTCCGATCTAGGAATCCGTTCAATCTAGACTGATTCCAGATAGGACGTCCGATCTAGAATCGTCTAAGTCTGGATCGAATGTCTAGAGTGAAGCGAGGTCTAACGGCTGATCTAGAATCAAGCCGATCACTCTAAATCTTACTCTGAATCGGATGCCTACCTTAGAGTGATCGGCTTGATTCTAGATCGGACGTTGGACCTTAATTCACTCTAAATCGAACGTCCGATCTATTGGGTTGGTGAATTGAAAACTGCCGGACTTTGAACTAAAATTTATTCAACATAAAACCATGAATTCATTCCAAATATTCCATTATTATAATTCCATTATTATTGACGACTTCTGCCCATTTTACAGGCAATTTGCGGATTCCTCTTTCGTAGTAGGATTTTGGTTTGTGTGTGAGACAAGTGTGAGACTCAAAAATCGAGGACTGGAGATGGAGATCCCAGTTTGAGCACTTTCTTCAAAAGAAACCCATTTTGGTGACAATAGAAATGTTGTAGAGAATCAAAAATGAGGCCTATAGCCAAATTTTCAGAACGATTCAACAACTGGTTTTCAAGAAATGCCAAATTTATGAATTTTCACAAAACTTGCAACAAAACTTGCATTTTAAGCAAAACTACTAAGTGTATCTTTCTGGAAATTTGGCTATAAGCCTAATTTTTGATTCTCTACAACTTTCTATTGACACCAAAATGGGTTTCTTTTGAAGAAAGTGCTCAAACTGGGATCTCCAGTCTCCATCTCCAGTCCTCGATTTTTGAGTCTCACACTTGTCTCACACACAAACTAAAATCCTACTACGAAAGAGGAATCCGCAAATTGCCTGTAAAATGGGCAGAAGTCGTCAATAAGAATGGAAATTATTTGGAATGAATTCATGGTTTTATTTTCAATAAATTTTAGTTCAAAGTCCCGCAGTTTTTAATGCACCAACCCAATAGATCAATGTTCGATTTAGAGTGAATTAAGGTCCAACGTCCGATCTAGAATCAAGCCGATCACTCTAAGACAGGCATCCGATTCAGAGTAAGATTTAGAGTGATCGGCTTGATTCTAGATCAGACTCTGTAAAATGGTCAGAAGTCGTCAATAATAATGGAAATTATTTGGAATGGATTGATGGTTTTATGTTCAATAAATTTTAGTTCAAAGTCCGGCAGTTTTCAATTCACCAACCAAATAGTTAAAAGTGAATACGTTGATAGAAATGAAAATCGGCTTTAAACCAGACAACAAATAGATGTAAAACATTATGAAAAGTTGCGAAAAGCCAACAAGATCTTTATCAAGTTGGTGTAAAAAAAACGATTTCAATGAGAGAACTCATAGAATATTCATAGAAAATAATCGGGGAAAGCTGGAAAAAAAAAGCTGGAAAGGATGGAAGTGATCGAAAGGAAAGAGATGGATTGAGGAAAGATTTATGCCTTTCTTTAAGGGAAAGAGTTCACTTTTTTGCTGAGTTTCAAAGTTTCAACATTTTCAACATTTTCACTGAGTGAACAGGAGTTTGAAAGTTTTCAATAAAAGTTTTCATTAAAGTTTTCAACAAATCAATTCGTTTAGAGTGGTTAATCTTCTCGAAAATAGACTTATTTATTAGAAAAAAGGCAATTTTTTCACTTTTTTTACTAAAGAATTGCCAAATTGTCAATTTTTGGACACCAATTGCCTTCAACTTTCACCCAATGGCTTTTCCTTGAATTAGCGAAGCTTAGTTTAGAAATAAAGTACCTAAATAGAGTATTAAAGTACCTAAAATCACAGTGAAAAGGTGTAAAAAGCAAATAAAAACTTTTTAATATTTAATAAAATATTTGGTCTTAAAATTTTGTTGAAAAAAACTATTAGGAATTTAAAGAGAAAAATTGACAAGATGACATGAGGAAAGTTTTGAGTTTTTCTTCAAAGAAGCCTCAAAGAAGAAAAGAAAGAGCCAGTTTTAACCACCAACAGACATCTGGGATTGAGGAAAAGGACAGGGTTATGGGATAGAACAGAATTGATGCAAAGAAAGATCATGATCCACAAGAACGGGCAAGAACGAATGGCAGTGGGTTAGATTACAAGGTAACTCTTTAGTTCACTGGCTAGTTCGAGTCCATCCTTCTCCTTTGTGCTTTTGCTTTCTTGGATTCTTTAAGTTAGTTTTAACCAAGAGACATCTGGGATTGGGTAAAAGGACGGGGTTGTGGGATAGAACAGAATTTGATACAAATAAAGAGCATGATCCAAAAGAACTAACGAGTAAGGCCGCTGCACAGAGTCCAACAAGTACAAGGTGATTGAAAAGTCCTCTCCACATCTTTCAACCAACTTTCTAGGATTATGTGATTAATTTCAGCAAAAAAAACCTTTAGTAAATCTAGAAATAGGATTCAATTTAGCAGCTAATGCTTTTACTAGAGTTCGGCAAACAAAACCAAAACCAAAACAGACCAAAACCAAAACCAAAACACCAAAACAAACCAAAACCAAAACAAACCAAAACCAAAACAAACCAAAACTCAATTTGCATTTAAATTAAAATGTAAATTTAAAATTGTAAAATGCAAATTTTAATGTAAAATGCAAATTTGCCTTTCACTTTTCCTCACTCCACAAAATCTCGCGGCCGAAAAAAGGACCAAAACACGACCTCGAAATTTCGAAACAAAAAATAGCCTATGGGATAGATTTTTGGATGCTGATTTCAAATCTGCAAACAGATTTTCGCTAGCTCCTCCCAGTCGCGAGATATTGGCGAGTTTTGGTTAGTTTTGGTTTTGGTTTTGGTTTTGTTATGGTTTTGGTTTTGGTTTGTTATGGTTTTGGTTTTGGTGGTTTTGGTTTTGGTTTTGTTATGGTTTTGGTTTGTTTTGGTTTTGTTATGGTTTTGGTTTTGGTTTTGGTTTTGGTTTTGTTTTGGTTTTGTTTTGGTTTGTTTTGGTTTTGGTTTGTTTTGGTTTTGGTGGTTTTGGTTTTGGTTAAGTTTTGTTATGGTTTTGGTTTTGGTTTGTTTTGGTTTTGGTTTTGGTTTTGGTGGTTTTGGTTAAGTTTTGTTTTCCGAAGTCTACTTTTTACAGAAAGTAAATTGGTTTAGCCATTCGTCGCAACGAGACTGTTCAATGTCGCGCTCATTTTGGAAATAAATGAAAAAACTATCAAGAAAAACCAAAAGAAAATCGCTTTTTATTGCAAAGAATTTGACCATGAGATCTCAAAAAAATGAATTTTTCAGTGAAAGAAAAAAGAAAGGAAAATCTTTGTGAAGGAAATTTGGAAAAATCAGAGTTTGATAAGCGAGATGGTTTTCAAAAAAGGAGATCAAAAGTGATCGGTGAAGGAATGCCTAGCAATATACAATTGTTCCTGAAAGAACAACGGTTTAGAGTTTTCCGAAAAAAGAAACAATTCTTCAAAAGGGTACGTTGAGATCATTTTGATTATCAGTTCAACGACTGTGCTGAGACTTTTCATAAAAATCATCAAGGATATGGGTTTTGAAAGTCAAAAGTCAAAGAATTGCTTAAAAGATTTTCAATCGTTTACTTTGGGATAACTTTGAGTAAGCTTTAGCTCTTTAGCTTTAGCTCTTTAACTTTAGCTCTTTAGATTTAGCTCTTTAGCTTTAGCTCTTTAGATCTAGCCCTGAAAACTATGAATTTTCAGTTCGCGTTAAAGGAGAAGACTTTAGCTAACATGGAAATCACAGATAAGACCAGAAAATCACTGGATTTCACTTTCAAATAGTAAGACTAAATAAAGTAATAGATATAAATAATAATAAAGTAAAGTATATAAGCAAAGAATAAAGGAAAGTAAGGAATGGTAAAGCAAGATTTCCGAAGATTTCCGGAGACGGGATTGAACCCTTGACCTTTTTGCTTTCTGGGGCAGATGCTCTAACCACTGAGCTCTATCTTCTTGCCAAAGAAGAAAGAGGGAAGAGGGGAAGAGGAAATACAAGGGAGAAGAGAAAGGAAGAAAGAGAAGGTAAGCATAAGCCAAGCATAAGCCAAGCATAAGCCAAGCATAAGCCAAGCATAAGTCAAGCATAAGCCAAGCCAAATCGGGCATAAGCCAGGAAAGATCAGAACCGATCAAAAGCCATGTTCGCCAGGTTTGCCAGCTTCGCCAGGTTCGCCAGCTTCGCCAAGTTTGCCAGGTTCACCAGATTCAAAGGTCTCCCACACCCACAAGCCTCTTCTGACAAGCCCAGTTGCTTTTTATAGGCTGTGTCTGCTCTAGCTTTGACTTAGCCTTGAAAAAAATGATTTTAGAAGAATCCTACACCTGATGGCGAACAGTTTTGGTTGTAGAGACGGCTCTTTCACCACTACTCCATCCGGGTGGCTTTTCTTTCAATCATTCTTTTAACTTTGTCTTTCAAAGATCAATCCGATCAGTTCACTCTCCTTTTCCAATGGCCACTCATTTCACACTAAAGCCACCGTAGCCCAACCACTGTTCTCTTTGCGATATTTCTCTCATTCAACTCTCTCTCCACTCCCAACACAGTCCAGATTTTCCCTGCTTTGAATTCGTTCTCATATTGAATTCATTGTTTATTCATTGTTTATTCATTGTTTATTCATTGTTTATTCATTGTTTATTCATTGTTTATTCATTGTTTATCCAATTAATCATTGATTACGATAATTGTCCGGCGAAATTTTCAAAGAAACAATGCGATGAATGACGATCACTCGAATACAGCCGCCGACGAGCTGGTGAGAGGGTGAGGGAAATTTGAAATCTTTCAAATCTTTCAAATCTTTCAAATCTTTCAACTCTTGCAAAGTTAACTGCATTTAACTCTTGCATTTAATCTTAAATCTCATTTCAGCTACTTGCACTATCGTGGATTGACGCAAACAGTGTCCACCTTTGAACAAGAGCTCAAAACAGAGCATCACTCAAAAGTTCAGGTGAGGAAAATGGATTGAAAATGGTTGAAATGATTGAAAATGATTGAAATGGTTGAAATGATTCAAATGATTCAAATTATTCAAAAGCTACCAGACGCAGTTATTTTTTTCTTCGAATGAAGTGCAAATGAAGAAAATGTAAATGTTGCAGGTCGAGAAAATCGTCGAAGAGATCCTTTCGTCGATCGAAAAACACGATATCGACAGCTTAAAGAAAATTTGGACGACATTCAATGAACGAGTCTTCAATTCACTTTCTGGGGTTTCTTTTATCCAAAGATGTATTTTGTGTGCTTGAGCCTGTAAACGCCTCCTTTCTAGCGCATCCTTAATTCTTCATTTTTCTCGTGGCACTAACCATTGCTGCAAGAAATTGAGTCCTATTTTTCAGGAGGAAAGCCGCTTGGCTCAGCAATACGAGAACGATGTCTATCGGCTGTATTTGGTGAAATGTGTACAGAAAAATGATAAACAAAAGTGAGTATGGAAAATTGAAATGAAAAAATTGAAAAAGCTTCAAAAGTCTGCTATCGGATAACGATAAAAATCAATTCTCACTTCAGATGTGTCGAGTTTTTCACGAAAATTGCCCCACTTGCCGTCAACAATCCACAGTGGAACGAGTGGTTTAGTCAGTTTTTTTTCTTGCTTAACCTCGACAAAATATCTTTATAGCTTACTAAGCTAAACTTAAAGCTTACTAAAATCTTTTTGGTTTTTACCTTCCCTTTCATTACAGCAATTTCCTATGTGCAAAATGCGAAAGACCGAGAGCCATTCAAGAAATATTTCGTCAAGCAATGGCAAGAGATTTTTCTCATCTCGTTGCACAATTTCTTGTCGATCACAATGCAAGTGAGTGAAAAACTGAAACCCAATGTGATGATGCCAATTTTTGAAATGTTTTAAATTTCTCAACATATCACCGAATCCCATTTCAGTCGGTTGAGAAGCCATTATTGTTACGAATGATCGAGGCGGCCATGCAAGAATCCTCTTCATCACCGGTTGGTTGAATAATTCACAGGCATAAATCGTAGAGCCTCAGACTTTTAATAGTTCAAAAGGTAAAGTAAATATTTCTAAATATTTGCTAGATAAGATTACTATTGGATTGATTTTGAACAACTCGCACTCGTTTTGGAGAAAATTTCAAGAGTTAAGCATGCGATGATTTCGAATGTTCAATTGATTACTTTGTCTAACACTAGCTGAATGTACCAACGTAACCTATCAATTTCAGACGAGTGGCCGGAGTGGATCGATCGACGAGGAACTGATTGATGATTTCGCCGTGATAGCACAGTAAGTTTCGACTCAACAAACCTTTGGATAGCTTATTAAACACCATTGGTGTTGTTAAAGTTTCGAATCTCAACAATCCCTTTGCAGATGTTCTGGCCCGATGAAAGCAGCCTCTTCTAAACCATCGCTGAAAAATCTCTTCAAAAGTATCACTGGAAAACGAAATGATTAACCTTTTCATTTGTCAATTCCATCATATTTTGTGATTTCATTGCCTAACGGGTTTATTTGAGAAAAGTAAAATCAACAAAAAGCAGTAACAATCAACACAACAAAAGATGTACAAAGACAAGCTAACAAATTTTTAAATCTATCAACAACTTATCGTGTAATCCATCCATTCTTGTTAACGTGCTCGCTTCTTTGCCGCTTTCATCAGTCCATGTTCGACGAGCCATTGCGTTTGCCTATAGTTGATGCCGCTCCTGCGCTTCTTTTCTAGTGCCTAAAAGACAAAATAGTACAATCGTACGCTTAAATGCTATAGCATAACTAATTTTATATTGCCTTTACGTTATACTTGAATTTTGTACTCTACTTTAACCAATTAGATAGCAACCTGGAGTATTAACGTATCAAAGTCTAGCATCTTTAATAGATTTTAGTTTTAGCTTTCATAAAACCAACCTTTACAACATTTTCCCAAATAGATGTCAAGCGTGCTTGAAAGTTGGGTAATAAAAAGCGATTGTCTTGTTTCCCCAAAATGATGCCGACATTCTCAATGATAGCCAGTGTTTGCTCTAAAATAAAATAATTAGAGACTTTTATTTGTCCTTAAATTTGTAGTAAGATTGTTTATTACCTAGAAACTGTCCTCCCTTCTCATCCGACAAAGCCATGAAGACGATTGGAGCGATCACTGTTGAAAATTGAAGGATAGCTTCTGGATTTTCAAAGGGTGAAGCCTAAAATGAAGATAGATTGATCAAATCAAATATCAATAGATTATTTTAATCAAATTTGCTTAATAGTAAATACAATTTGATGACAACTTTGTCCAAAGTTGCTAGTTAGTGTTCTAAACATTGTTTCGAAACAAAAACAACTCACTTGTTGAGATATCCGATTTGATAGAGCCAAGATAAATGGATTCCCAGAAGGCGTTAAGTTTACTGGTCTAAAAACAAGCTACTAAAATGTAATTTATGTTAAAGTACATTGAAATCGTTTCTTTTGTAGTATCAATCATGACAGAGACTCCAAAATTTGTTCGTTTCTCTTCGATTGTGAATACCGTCAAGAACAGGGCCACACATTCGAGAAAACTAAAATAAAATGCGATAAGAATTTCAAATATTTCGAATAGCATTTACCATAAACTTAGGCAACTGTTAGTGAGAAGAATCTTTTGACTTTTAAACAAAAGTCGTTAGGCTTTAATCATTTAATCATACTATAAACAGTAATGCGAGTTCTTTGTTTTCTTATTCATTACTTGTTATTTCTTGATACTAAAAGCAAACGTTGTAAAAGAGCTTACTTGTTCTTTTCTTAAACTAACCCCTTTGTGTTCCAAGCTGGCTTTCTCGGTGATCCAAGCACGTTGATAAACGACTGGAAAAGCTCCTCATCGTTGCGACATAGATTCTAAAATAAGTTTAGAGATGCACTAGTTTTAACATGTAATACCTTATACGTTTGCATCAATAACTTCAGGATGGAGAGCGAAAACGTACGCACACTCAATTCGACATAGCTGAGACCGCGTTGAACATAGGCAAGTAGTAGACGGAAGTGGGCGCTCATTGTTGACTCCGACACGCTACAGATGTCCTCAATGAGCGAGCGAAGTTGTGGCCGAATAGCTTGGTCGCATTGCTAAAAGAAAAAGTTAAAAGGTTTTCAATTATTGATGGCAGTAGGTTTAAAGTCTAATTGCTAATAAACCCCAAGTCTTATTGTCTTGACAATATGATATTCCATAAAATTACCTAATTTAATGCAAAAAATAAAACTTTTATGATAATATTCTCAGATGTAAACTAACTGGATCAACGATGAGCTTTGCGACACCAGGAATGGCTTTGTGAAGGTTCGTCCTCAATTCATCGGGTTTTGCCGTGAAGAGTTGCTTGCATTGTATGATGGCACTTCTCCGCATCGTCTTGTTGTCGTGCCCGAGCTGTTTGCACAAAACCTCCAGCGTGTTGCCGCGAAAACTAAATTTTAAATTATATCATTTTACTAAACACTCCAACTCTAAGCTTTAAATATTAAGTTACACGGCGTTTTAATTGTTTTACTAGAAACACTATCAAATATTAATGCTTAAACATTGCACGAACGCAATTTTAAAGCAACCACGCTAATAATGCATTGATCAATCTAATCAGCAAGTTGACTTGCTTTGTAATGCTGATTGGTTTGTTAACTCAATTACGCATTAATTTGCAAATTACTTACCTATTTTAAATCTTATTTATTAGGCTTGTAAGTAATAAATTTCGGCAAGATTGTTGTTTCACAAAAAAACCGAACCTTTTAAGCTAATTTCTTTTGAATTATCTGTTCGCAAAACATTAAAGCGCGTACATTCAGCTAACAATTATTTGACCAAGGTTTAGTTTGCAAGCCGGACAAGCCTAGTGTTAATACCTTTCAATCCGCCCAACTTCCTCCTCTTGATCATCTCCACCAATCCCGTAACGAATTCCGCCGTGATTTTGTTGTTGCGATCCGCCCAATTGCGTCAAAAGCGTCAGCTTCTTTGCGGTAAACGTTGTGTCCGTCGTGGCCGTCTTCCGAAGTACTTTTCCCACCTAAAACAAATGAAATTAGTGTGAAATTTAATGATAATAAAACATTACAAACAACCAGTTATAGCGGTGTCTTTTCGAATCGATGTCGTCAATCAACGGCAATAAACATTGCAAAAACGCGTTTCGTTTTAAAAAAAATGCAACATTTCGCATTTTAAAACGATTTTGCCTTTCATTTTTCATTCTTCTTCTTTAAATTGGCAAAAAATGGCCAAATCATTTCACTGTTCACTGAGAAAAATACAAAAAGCAAAAATTTACCTTCAATTTCCGCTTCTGGAAAGCTTTGTTCTTATCTTGTTTCTTTGCCATTGGAAGTGATTGTGCCTGAAATTTAAAAATTAGCACATCTTGTGAAAAAGAAAGCAACAAAACGTAGAGAGAAAAAACGAAAAACTTCGCCAAAACTTGTTCCAAGTTTCTAATGGGCAATAATTTGATGCCGCTAGCTCTTACAATCTCGCTGTGCTTATTGCGGCGCGTAGTCGTGCACTATCTAAGCATGTAGATACTGACACAGTGCGGTGCAAAACCATACCCCACTCCCTAAATTTCAATTTTCTGCGGCTCCCGTGCCAGTGACAAAAAAACTGAAAACGTAGTTAAATTCAAGATCAAAAATAATCCTTAAACCCCAAAAGTCGTCGACATAGCATGAATAGGGAAAATGTAACAGCCGAAGAACGAACTCCCGGTGCAAAACCATACGCCACCCCCCAAATTTTGGTGTCGTTGTTGCATTTTTGTTCATTTTTTAAAATAACAAGGCTATTTATAACAATAAGAGTTTAATATTTTGTTGTCTATCCCTGGCGACTGATCACGACAAATATTCGATTCAGCATGTCAACTAGCTTCTTGATGGTGCTTCTTTGGATGGCATTCCACTCGCGGGTAATGGCATCTTTGAGCACTTGAACATTTGCGTATTGTGTGGAATTGCCATAAACTCGACGAGCAAGCATTCCCCACAGATTCTCAATGGGGTTGAGATCGGGGGAGCACGCAGGCCAATCCAGAAGAGGCACTTGTTTTGACTGAAGCCATGACTTGGTTGCTTGCCTGATGTGGCGTTGTCTTGCTGTAGGGTGAGTTGGTGTTGTGGGAGACTTTGCAGATATGGAAGAAGGTTGACCTCGAGCACATTGATGTAATCTTGTGAGCTCATCTTGGATTTGACAAAGACGATTTCCAGTTTTTCATGAGATGAGAAGGCGCCCCAACACATCACCGCATCCCCGCCGAAGTTTCGCTTTGCCCCCTCTCCGATACTGGGAAAGAACCAAACTGAGAATTCTGCAATAAAGATCACACCATGAAACAAGGTAAAAAGTGGGGTTGGTTACTTTCCGTCAAATTTTTTGCGCAACTTTTCAACACATTTTAACAAAGCTTTTTCACGACGGGAGTGGGACAAATGCAACCTTTTTCTTTGCGCACCCGGCTCATTAGCGCACCTTTTTTGCGTTAAAAAAATCTGAAAAGCTAATATTAATCAATTTCTATTCCAAAAGTTGTTTTGCTGGGTAATTTTAGGGTGTAGAATGCAAATTTTGACATATTAGAGCTTGTGAAAGCAAACGGACGAAGTTATACATCAGGTAAAACCGGCAATTTTCTTCTAAAGCTTGATGTTGGTGCCGTTTTGAAAAGCTTTCATTTTTGTTTCAGGAGCCAATAACTGCTAATTATAATGATCTCAATCATATCGTTTCTTAAAACCTCTAACAATTTCAATAGCCTGAATGTTTCTTTATCTCTTTCCCTTTCTCTAAGCCTATATTTTCGTACCTCAAACTTTTTTACTTTCAACCTACTACAATCGCCGAAAAAAGGCTCCACGGTGAGTCCCCAGGGGATTTTTAACGCAAAGAACGGCACATTTGTGTCGCCAATTGGGTTCGATAAGAGGCGTGAAGGGGTGAGAATAGAGCTGGGCGACAAGGGGTGGGATGGAGCTGAAGAACCGGGGACCGCCCCCCTTCCAGCTCGATCCTGAAATGAGCCCCGGGGAATTCATCCTCCTTTTCCACTCCACACACCGACACTTTCCAAAAGTTGCTATTTGGAAAGCTTTGCGGTGATTAGTTGGGTTCATCAGTTGAACTCACTCATCCACTTCTACAATTCTCCTGACACTTCTACGATACTTTTGCAATTGACTACAGATCCTTGCCGGTTTCTCAAAGTTTTAAGGTAAAATTCTATTTGAGTCAAGCTACCGTTGCTTAAATTTCAGAGAGGAATGAACGCACAGTTTGTTTACTACTGTTTAACTACAGTCTACCGGTGCTAGAACATTTACAACAGCTTGAGTGCTTTAGAATTCGGATCCACTTGATCAACTTGAAAATTTTATTTCAAAACGTTTAAAAATACCATTGCAAACAGTGCGTTCATTCCTTTCTGAGATTCATTCCTGTCGAGGCCTGAAAAACTAAAAAACAAAGCGTCTGTTTATAAAAATAAAAAAAACAACTTAACTTAACCCGCAGAGATCGACAAAGCATCTTGAAAAGAAGAAAAATACGAAAAATGGTTTGATTGTAGCAAAAAAAGTTTCATTTTGCTCTTTTTCTCTTCCGGATTACGGTAATTTACCCACTTTATAGTGCGCCATAACCCAGAAATCACAATTTTATTTTCAAAAGGTTATAACTTTTTGTAGGGTTTATCAATTTTTATGTTTTCCATATCAAAAGATAGAGAAAAACCCATAGAATAAAACTTGTGGTTTAGATTTTCGTTGTTGGCGTTTGTTTTCAAAATTTTCCTCCAACAATAAAATATGGCTGAAATTTAACACTGTAAAATCATTAAAACTCGATTTTTAAAAAATTTCTCAGAGGGATTTAAAAAATTCTTTCATTTTCGGATTCAGCATATTTTTCTGCGTCGAATTTCAAACCTAAAACCCTATAGAAAGCGATCTTTTTGCCTTATTTTGCTCGGATTCTTTTGTAAAGATTGTTTTGGCATTTAGGAATACGGTACCTCGAGTGCAAAATGAGCGACGTCGACCAGCAACTCGATTACGATCTCACAACTGATCTTTGGGCAAATAATGGCTTTGAGAAAAGGAATCGACGAGATTATGGGGTAAGTTAGAATAATGAAGTCAAAGGATAATCTTTAGCTGTATCAATTAAATCGAAGATCCAGATATTAGAACTTTTAGAATGTACTGCGCGCTTAAAGTCAAAAGCATTTTCCTTTTTTTCATTTTGATTCTCATTTTGATTCAAAACAAACTTTATAAGGCCTTTTTTTGCAAGAATTCCCTTATTCTTCTGCTTCCAAATTTCAATAGGATCTCTTTCTTTCACTCTTTTTCTCATCAGGGTAATTATTAGCACGCGTCCGCCGTAGAATCCGAAATGAACATCATTTCGATGCATCAAAAAGCGTTTGTTTTCAAATAATTCACTAGTGGCTAGTTTGTTGGAAAACTGGCTCAGTTTAGTGTTATTTAGCTTTGTTTTAAAAAGCACAACAAGTTTGTTGTGCTTTTTTTTCGGTCGAAAACTATTCACGAGTTCGACTTTTATGAGTAGAGTAAAATTTGTCCTCCAATTTGTCCAGCTTTCCAAACAAATCCTAGCCTTTCTAGCTAAACAAGCTTTCTAGCCTACTCAATTTATATTTGTTTTCTTGATTTAGCCAATAATGTTATTATCTAAATACCCGTTAGTTTAAAAAAACGTTTCTAACTTTGATCCAAAAGATATAAGATCCAAAAGACTACAGGTAATCGTTCATTTCATCAAAAATAACTTCATTTTAGAAAATAATCCATCCAGAAGCTGTCTAATTACAATAGATAGCTAAAATGATGCTCAAGCTCAAGCTCAAGCTCAAGCTCAAGCTCAAGCTTAAGCTCAAGCTCAAGCTCAAGCTCAAGCTCAAGCTCAAGCTCAAGTGCACCAGAAAGTGTGTTGATATTTTTTTAAGGACAAAATGCAGTTGGAGTAGCTTTTCCCTACTATCACATCCATCAATCTTTTCCCCATTTCTTGCACACTTCTCTCCAAATTGAGATTGATTTGTGTCAGCAATGTGTCAGCAATTCCGCGCACATTTTAGCAATTTTATCTGATCTCATGTCGTAATTAGCATAAAGAGGGATTCGTAAAAATTCAAACCAAAGACTAAACCAAAAACTAAACCAAAATCTCTAAAAACTCAAGTGTTTGAGAGGCGAGGAAAATTACCCAATTTTGGCACTTTTTAAGGGAAATTTGAAACGGAAATTTGTGGCAACCGGTTTCTCGATGAAATTTTTGAGGGTTTTTAGGGTTTTCCTGGGGGATTCGTCATTTTTCGATAAGCTCAATATCATTTTCCCTTCTTTTTCTGGGTTTTTATGAACTCTTCGTATATTATTTTTTTTTTGCGGGGACACAGGAGTGGGATAAGGACTCGAAAAGCACCAAATAACCCCCCTTTTTCTCCTTTCCCTCAATCCTACGGAGATTTAGATATTTATTTCAACCCCAACTCACTCACACTTATATAAACTTATAGATTTCAAAGCTTTTAGCTATTGAAACTATAGAAAGTTATATAAAACGCAGATATTTTCAATGTCCAAACTCTATTTTCAACTAAGATCTAACATCTTAGTTGAATATAGAGTTCCTTGCAGTTTGTTCCTTGCAGACAACGCGTTTTCTAAAAAGCTACCGTAACCCGCGCCAAATATAAGCTACCGTAACCCTATGCTTTGCATAAGCAAACTTTTTAATGACATTGACAATCAAAATGACAATCAAATGTACATTAAATGTCTTGCGCCTTTTTTTCTACTACTCTTTCCATAACTTTTTGTTTTTTCTCTTTTTCAAACTGGTTAAATTGGTAATTCCTACTATTTAGAGTAGCGCGTAGAAAAGAAAAGTGTGATTGTAAGAGAAAAATGGATGCTTCTCCCAGTAATAGGATAATTCTGGTAAGTAATTCTAGTGATAGTTGCCTTTACGCTTATAAATCATTTTCGATTTTTTAGAGTTCCGCAACTTCTTCGCGTAGACCTAAAATGCCCTCACTAGCCTGGGATTTTGTCTTTGAGTTTAAACTATTAGTGTTATACATTTCCTGAAAGCTCTTTTCAAGGGCTACACAATGGTAATATTAATATTTAGAAATACGGTAAAAACAAGGGAGTTACAGACGCGCGAAAGTGACGATCTTTTTTCAAATATCATATTTCATTGTCCAGTAGTGTAGCTCAAGCAATCCTTTAGCTCGCTGTTAAGTATTGCAAAGTGCAGGGTTACCCTGTGAGCAGCAAAGAGACTCGAGCACAGCACAGTGCAATCTATGCCCCAAAAACGCAATTTCAAACTATTGCGAGTTTTCAAACTATTTCCTGCGAGTTTTAGCCTAGGTTTTTGCAGGGAAAACTAACGAAACGTGAAAACAGCCATTTTTTGGCTCTGCCGCCCTTTACTAAAATAGCTGTAAAAACTTTTAGAAAAGAGATATCTCAAAACGGTTTTTACCAATCGATCCGCCTTGAATTCAGCTTTAGGATGAGCTATTGGCTATTGAGCTAAAACGTCAAAATTCGGCAAATTTAAGGTACTCTCCCAAAAAATCGGAAAGGACTTTTCCATCAACCCAATATTTTAAACTTAAAAATTTTAAAATGCTGTGTAAAATCAAAGAAAATATTTAAAATAGAAAAAGTTAAGAAACGCTATTAAGAACTTATATTATTATTGACGAATTTACTAGGCCTATTGTCTACATTTAGTCTACGATTCAAAAACAAATTCCATAACAAATTCCATCAAAAACCTAAATTCTTAAATAAAACCCATCCATTACTACATTTTAAGGAAAATTTTGCACATTTTTTATAGCTTTTATAGCGCGGTTCTTTATAGCTTTGCTTAACATGTTGACGACATTGTCACCTGATGCTGTCTGACACATATTCGTTCGCCTGGGACATTGTCACCTGATGCTGTCTGACACATATTCGTTCGCCTGGCGCCTGGGACATTGTCACCTGATGCTGTCTGACACATATTCGTTCGCCTGGGACATTGTCACCTGATGCTGTCTGACACATATTCGTTCGCCTGGCGCCTGGGACATTGTCACCTGATGCTGTCTGACACATATTCGTTCGCCTGGGACATTGTCACCTGATGTCAGGTGACAGTACCAAAATTGATGTTTTTTGTTCATATTTATGTTTGCTGATGATGGATATTAAATAAGCAACTAGGGTAGTATCTATATTCGACTTGGTCCCGGAAAATGTCGATTTAACCGTTGATTATTAAAATTTTAATTTTTTAGGTGACAATTTCAGGTGACATTTTTTGTCGAAAAAAAACAAGGTTGTCCCATGCGATTGTTTGTGCAAAAACGTCATTGTCGTCAACGTGTTAAAAAGCGTACCTTTTGAGAAAACGCGTTGTCGGAAGTTTGTCGGATGAATTGTCTGACAAAAAAGTTGCCAATGCAAATTTGTCTGACAAATTGTCTGTCAGCAAGGAGCACACTCTAGTTGAATATAAAACTTATCTACAAAAACCCTTTTTCTCGGATGCTTTTGTGCACAAAAAGTCCATTTTTGAAATATTTACCTTTTTTTGAGCTCACACATAACCAAACAATTAGACATTTTCTTTAGGATCTATTTTTGTTTAAAGGGGGGTATTAATCGCGGCCGGGTGACGATAAAAATTTTTTTACGGCAACCACCTGTTTTTTTGTTTTAATATCGCTGATTTTATTATAAAAAGAATAAAAATCACCCGGCTAGAGTGATTTGATGGGTTTACAAATTTTTGGAGACACTGCAAGGCTTGGAGAAAAACAAGATCGTCACTCATCAGACACCTCAGCTAAAAGGCACCTATTTGAGAAAACTAAAACCATAAGCGACCACAAATGAAAAAAGATCTAATTGTGTCAATCAAAGCGCTGAAGACGTCCTACGATGGAGGAGATCCAGTCACTTTTGGTGAAGATGCGCTGGAAATTGATAAGATAGGAAGCCGATTTGTACTGCTGTACTTGAGCGAAGATGAAAGTGAGCAAGAGGAAGAATTATAGATTAACAATTTGCTGAGTGAAAGTGAGCAAGAGGAAGAATTATAGATTAACAAGATGCTGCAAGGCTTGGAGAAAAACAAGATCGTCACTCATCAGACACCTCAGCACAGTCTAGATCGATTGAGTTTTAGTTGCAGATAAATTTAAAAACAAAATAAAAAGCACAAAAAGTAATAAAAATAAATTGTTAATCTATAATTCTTCCTCTTGCTCACTTTCATCTTCGCTCAAGTACAGCAGTTCGGCTCAAGTACAGCAGTACAAATCGGCTTCCTATCTTATCAATTTCCAGCGCATCTTCACCAAAAGTGACTGGATCTCCTCCATCGTAGGACGTCTTCAGCGCTTTGATTGACACAATTAGATCTTTTTTCATTTGTGGTCGCTTATGGTTTTAGTTTTCTCAAATAGGTGCCTTTTAGCTGAGGTGTCTGATGAGTGACGATCTTGTTTTTCTCCAAGCCTTGCAGTGTCTCCAAAAATTTGTAAACCCATCAAATCACTCTAGCCGGGTGATTTTTATTCTTTTTATAATAAAATCAGCGATATTAAAACAAAAAAACAGGTGGTTGCCGTAAAAAAATTTTTATCGTCACCCGGCCGCGATTAATACCCCCCTTTAATAGGATCGATTTTTTGTTTCAAGAGCTATTTTTGGTTCTTGTTTTGTTTTTGTTTGAAAACGCACGGCTTTCCAATTTCCGTTTTACTAGAAATCAGCTAGCTAGCCCGGCTAGGATCATAGGCATAACCTAGCCCGGTTTTAGTTAATCTACAAAATTCCCCAAAGCTAAGAATATAGTCTGGCTCTGATATAGTCTGGCTCTGATATAGCCTGGCTCTGATATAGCCTGGCTCTGATCTAGTCTGGAAATTTAATCTAGAACCAGCCTTGTTCTTTGGAGCTTTGCGCTTGATTTACTTTGTCCTCAAAAACGTAAACACATCCTTTTTGGCACTTCTCTTCCCTGGCCGTAGACAAGCTCGCTGCCGAGCGTAGACAAGCTCGCTGCTGACCGAGCCAGGGCGACAAAAGTTTCTGGAACTAAGTAAGCCAGGAAGGTTGCGTTTCAATTTTCAAGCACAAAGACATATAGAAACTTTTTGTTGTTATGGGTAGGTAGAAATTTGAGTACGACGAGTAACGGGATAAAGACAGAGAAGGAGAGAGTAAGGGACAAGGTCGAGAGTCCCTTCTGACATCGGGGGTGAGTAGGTGAGAATAACGGATTGAAGGGGGGAAATAAGGAGAAAAGACTCAAGCAACGAGCCTTTCTCTCCTCTTCTTTCTTTTTACTTACCCCCTTGAACTTCTTAATTGACTGCGGTTGACAAGAGGAAAGAGAGCATCTGTTGCCTGCCTCCAATTATCTTACCCATCTCAAGAATTGCTCATTCTAATCAAATTGATTCATTTATTCCATTAAAAAGTAAACCGTTTCTCAATTTCTCATCGATTTATAATGCTTCTCTTTCATCTTGAATTTTTGCATAGAGAGATTTAAAAGATTGTGGGACATTTGCCCCGCCCCATTGCCATTGGCAAACTTTGAGCTCAAATTTCTTGGTGTTAGGCTATCCAATTTAAATAGTTTTTGCACGAATCGACAGAGAAAGACTTGGCGCATCTAATGATACCAAGAACAGTTAAATTGAGCAGCCCAAAGCCAAGATATTTAAGCTCAAAGTTAGATTGCCAATGGCAAACTTTGAGCTCAAATTTCTTGGTGCTGGGCTGTCGAATTCAAATAGTTTTTGCACCAATCGACAGAGAAAGACTTGGCGCATCTAATGATATCAAGAATACTGAATTGGACAGCCCAACATCGAGATATTTGAGCCTAAAGTTAGATTGCCGATCGCAAAAGGGGCGGAGCGACGGACCTTTTATACGCGCCCCGCCCACTTTACCATCAAATGTCCCACAATCTTTGTTTAGTACTGTTGGTAATCTGAACTTAATCTTACTCAACTCTAAGTTTTAAATTTGATCAAATTGCCCAGGGTAAAGTGTGCGGGGCGCGTATAAAAGGTCCGTCACCCCGCCCCCTTTGCCATTGGCAATCTAACTTTAGGCTCAAATATCTCGATGTTGGGCTGTCCAATTTAAGGATTTTTGGTATCATTAGATGCGCCAAGTCTTTCTCTGTCTATTAATACAAAAACTATTTGAATTCGACAGCCCAGCACCAAGAAATTTGAGCTCAAAGTTAGATTGTTAATGGGAAAAGGGTCGGGGCGCGATGCCAATGATTGATACATGTACTGTACGGTTGTTCCAAGAACCAAATCACAGCTAAGCCAATGGTTGCCTTTTGGTTGGCTTTGATTTGACTTGACTTGAAATGGAAATTGTTCTAGACTTACAGAGTCGTTAGAGCCAGATTCCAGATTGCCGGTCTATCCCATATTTTCATAGAATCAGAGAACAACTTCAAAAAAGCCAGTAAAATCCAAAGTCCAGTAAAATCCAAAGTCCAGTAAAATCCTAAATCCAGTAAGAAACGAAAAACCTAGTTCTTGATGAGAGTTAGGATTCTGGTCAGGATCTGTTTCTGGCTGGTAATTCTTGAGCTAGGGTCAAGCTTGGTCAGACCAGGTCAGACCAGACCTACACCACCAGTCCAACACTCAAGCCATGATCTGACTAGGGAATGTTGTTAACTTATCGTGGCTTTTTGACTCGGTAAATAGCCTATCTGATGCAGTTTTTCACGCTGATTCCGAATCTGCAATCAGTTTTTGCCAAATTGCGTAAGTTTGTGCTTTGAACTCGAACCCTCGTGGTCCAAAAGACCATAAGCCCAGCAGACGCTAGACTAACCACTACACCACCGAGACCATTGTCTCAAGACAGTGCGTCGCCCTTATAAAGAGATCCCAAAAACTTGTATGCCAAATATCTCGTGATAGAGAAGTGTTTGGAAAAAACTGATTGCAGATTCGGAATCAGCGTGAAAAACTGCATCAGATAGGCTCTCGAGTCAAAAGTTACTCAGAGTCAAAAGCCACGATAAGGCAACAACATTCCCTAGTGAGTCGGAGTATTTCTGAAATATCCCTGAGAACCAATCTTCTATTAGAGTACGGTAAGTTACTCAGACTTCCACCAAGAGTCAGATATCCAATTTTCAAGATATCATTCAAGCTTCAAGATACAAGAAGCGCCAGAAAAAGTTAGCCCATCCAAACGTTTCAATGCCCGAAAAACATCCCAATTCCGCGAACTAAATCTCACGAAAGAGCTACGAGAAAATCCCGGTGTGTAAGAAGGAGGCGAATTTGCATAATTGCCCTGCTTTCCCCCCTACTTTCACCCGAAAATTCAGCCTTTCTTATAAGAGGTACCCTGTCGTTTAGCGCCTCTTTTCTCAATCCGATCCCCGTTTTTCGAGCACCAATGCCCGTTTACGACCATTGACTTCAACTTTTTTGAGAAACATTTTGAAAAAAGAGAAAACTTACCTAGATACTTTGGGCTCAAATTCTGCAAACCTACACTTCCTGGTACATTGATTTTCTTTTCTATTTTTCTGTTGCGGTCAAAAAACAAAGCTATTGGGTTGGTGAATTGAAAACTGCGGGACTTTGAACTAAAATTTATTCAACATAAAACCATGAATTGATTCGAAATAATTCCCATTATTATTGATTATATTAGTGCTAAATTGGTACAAGTGACACACACTATTCTATTAAAAATCAGTTGGAATCAGTCGCTGATCCTTGGGCTAGAACAAAGTCAGTCTTGTTGTATTCTTGACCAATAATCTACTATAGTTGCTACGTCCGATCTAGGAATCCGTTCAATCTAGACTGATTCTAGATCGGACGTCCGATCTAGAATCGTCTGGATCGTCTAACTCTGGATCGGATGTCTAGAGTGAAGTGAGGTCTAACGTCTGATCTAGAATCAAGCCGATCACTCTAAGGCAGGCATCCGATTCAGAGTAAGATTTAGAGTGATCTAAATCTTACTCTGAATCGGATGCCTACCTCAGAGTGATCGGCTTGATTCTAGATCGGACGTTGGACCTTAATTCACTCTAAATCGAACGTCCGATCTATTGGGCTGGTGCATTGAAAACTGCGGGACTTTGAACTTTGAACTAAGATTTATTCAACATAAAACCATAAATTCATTCGAAGTAATTTCCATTATTATTGACGACTTCTGCCTATGTTACAGGCAATTTGCGGATTCCTCTTTCGTAGTAGGATTTTGGTTTGTGTGTAAGACAAGTGTGAGACTCAAAAATCGAGGACTGGAGATGGAGACTGGAGATCCCAGTTTGTCACTTTCTTCAAAAGAAACCCATTTTGGTGTCAATAGAAGAGTTGTAGAGAATCAAAAATGAGGCTTATAGCCAAATTTTCAAAAAGATACACTTAGTAGTTTCGCTTAAAATGCAACTTTTGGGAAAATGCGTAAATTTGGCATTTCTTGAAAACCAGTTCTTGAATCATTCTGAAAATTTGGATATAAGCTTTATTTTTGATTCTCTACAACTTTTCCATTGACACCAAAATGGGTTTCTTTTGAAGAAAGTGCTCAAACTGTCACATTTGACAATAGCCCGCAGTCTTCAATTCACCAACCCAATAAAAAGCCATAACCACTCTCTACCCAGTTTCACCACCGCTAAGCTAAGTCGGTGACTTAAAGTCAGACTTAAGTCACCATCTCACCACCAATTTAGGACACTGACTTAGAGTGACCTAGCCGATTCACTGACCTAGATGAGGTGACTTAACTAAGTCAGCATTTCGCCACCACTTTAGGACACCGACTTAAATTTTCAGCTAAGTCACTGACTCAGCGTTACTATGGAAATCGCTAAGTCGCTAGAAATCGCTAGGGGGCTTCTCCTAGAGGTAACTTACAAGGTACCTACCGAAACAAATTACAACTTACCGAAACCGCTTTCAAACCCTACTTATCATAAGCCAATTTCGAGATATAAGCCTTCAAAGTTTCGGTCACTTTCGCGAAACAAAATTTGGATATAAGCTTGATTTTTGATTCTCTACAACTTTTCCATTGACACCAAAATGGGTTTCTTTTGAAGAAAGTGCTCAAACTGTCACATATGACAATAGCCGGCCGTTTTCAATTCACCAACCCAATAATTTTACGATTTCCTTGCTTTTTGATCCTTGAGTTCAAGAAATTTTGTGATAAAAAGTATCGAGTTTTGAGCTTTGACCGAACAATTTCTGTCTACCAATCACCAATTTAACAATACAATTTAACAGTGTTTGGGTAAAAAAATCGTCAATGATTTCATTTGATGATTTGATGTTCATTTGATTTCATTTGATGTCAAATTTGTGACCAATTCCAGAACTCTCCACCGATGCAATTCTCGGGCCTCCAAGTGACCGCCTGGGTTGTTGTTTTGATGGGAACTGGGTGTCTGATCGGTGCGCTACTCACCGATTTTTGGTCCATTCATCATCCACAACACTCGATTGGTGAGTGAAAAAAGGCAAAAAGCACCGATTTCTATAGGAACCTTTATTGCTTTACATTGATTTTACATTATTGCAAAGTATAAAGGAATCAATGCATTCAAGCTTCTGGAAGTATTAAATACCAGCCGAAAAACTCGCCTAACAGCGGTTTGCTGTGGCCAGTTCTGGTTCTGGCCTTTTGTCGCCTTGGCGCAGTCGTCAGCGTCTACGGCTTGTCTACGGCTTGTCTACTGCTTTACGGCTTGTCTACGGTTTGTCTACGGTTTGTCTACAGCTTGTCTACGGTTTGTCTACGGTTTGTCTACGGTTTGTCTACAGCTTGTCTACGGTTTGTCTATGGCTTGTCTACGGTTTGTCTATGGCTTGTCTACGGCTTGTCTACGACCCACACGATCCGGGTTCGACTCCCCGTAGTGCCACCTAATTTAAATGGCACAACTATAATAAGACTATAGATAACTTAAGACTTTAAAAAAAATTTCAGCTCTTTTGGTCCAAAGACGGCTGAGAAAATGCCCGTACAGACAGATGGACGGACAGAGACTGCTCTTTTATATAGTAGATGTCTAAATAACTGGATTGCTAAATTTCGTATGTAAACCATCGCTATTTCCACCTTTTTAACGTTGGCGCAGTCGAGAACGCGCTTGTCTACGGCCCACACGATCCGGGTTCGACTCCCGGTTGTGTCGTGATTTTTGCTTTTTAAAAAAATTGAAATCTGAGATGCACAACTACATAGAATTCTAAGCCTAACAAAATAAAAATCATGCAAATCGGTCCACTAGGAGTTGAGAAATAGCGCGTACAGACGGACGGACGGACAGACACTTCCCTTTTATCTACAGGATTCGGCAAAACCATCTGGACAACGTTTTGAGAGAGTATTTCTTGCACGCTTTATTTATTTCAAAAGTATCAAGTGTTATAAAGAGAATTGTAGCCCTTAATCTTGGCTACATTTATCTACTAAAAACTTTCCGATTGGACTTATACAACTAATTTTATGAGCTCTTCAATGAGCACTAGTCGATCCCTATCCATCGTTGCCATGCTTTGGAAAAGTAGTTCTCGCACGCTTTATTTATTTCAAAGTATCGAGTATTCTATAGAGAATTGTAGCCCTTAATCTTAGCTACATTTATCTACTAAAAGTTTCCCGATTGGACTTTTACAACTCATTTAACAAGCTCTTGAATGGGCGCCGCTATCCGGCCATTTTTAACGATTTTCTAACTAAAAATTATCTAAAAAGGACTTTATCTTAGTAAACTTTATGTACATTTTACTTTTCTTTCTTTATCCAGTAAACTTTTCGAAAAAGTTGTCCGGATAATTTTGCCCAACGAAATTTTTGTAGATGATCTCCGAATGCATCGTGGCCTCTTCAAGCAATGCATCACCACTGTTCATCAAAGCACTTGTCAATTCCGATTCACAAATCTCATCAATCGAATCAACAATTTCATCGATCTCGGCTTCACGCAAAGGAGTATGGCCTACGAGCAGCAACCATTGCAGGGTGAGCAGCAACCATTGCAAAACCTTGAGCGGATCCTCCTGGCTTAGCCTTTCAGCCTTATTGCCTTATTGCCTCAGATTTAATGTTTCATCTCAGGTTTCGAAGTGGTCACAGTAGTCCTGCTAATCATCGCTCAATTTCTCTCAACTTTCGTGCTCATTTGTGGCCCTTATTGGTGCAGTCGATGGAAGCGGATGTCCCTGTACTCGACATTATTGATCAGTGAATAAAACGGAAATCCCTTTCATCGATTTTCCTTTTCAGCTATCCTAACCACAACCTCTTGTGTGATCTATGCAGTGTACAACTCTCGCGGATTGACGTTCACCCTACGACAAACAATCTATCAAGATGTTTTCAATTTCGATTTTGTGAGTTTTATTTTAAATGACAGAAATTTGTGACTGAGTAAGTCATGGCAACGGTAGGTAGGATTCTAGTACCTACGCAATGGTAGCTAGTATTCTAGTAACTAGGCAACGGTAGGTAGCATTCTAGTACCTACGCAATGGTAGCTAGTATTCTAGTAACTAGGCAACGGTAGGTAGCATTCTAGTACCTACGCAATGGTAGCTAGTATTCTGGTAACTAGGCAACGGTAGGTAGTATTCTACCCACCGTTGCGATGACTTACTCAGTCACAAATTCTACTTTCCGTTGATATTCTATCGGAATAATGTATTCAAATGTCAAGTCTGGATATCTCTAGTTATAAGTTATATAATCCCGGGAACACTCTCAGGTTTTGATCATTTCAAACGGCTTGAATAACCTGCGAATGTTTAAGTCTTTTATCCCCAGGCCAGGCAGGTAAGGTAGGTCAAGGCAAGGTCAATGACTGGTCAGAAACCAGATCTAGGCCTGGCTTCACCTCACTAGAACTGTTTTTAGACTAACCACCGACTTTCAAAACAGGACCTAGCTATAACCCGTAGAATTCTAAGAAACAAGGGTTTTTATTTTTTACCTATGAGCCCATGAAAAACGTATTCAAAGTATAGGCAACTTTTGGCAAACTGCCGCCTATAATAGGGCGCCATGCCGGGCGACACCGAAAGCAGACAAGACCGAAAGCCTAGGGAATAGCGGGCTAGACTCGAAAACCTAGGCTGCTCTTGCTCACGGATTCAGCCGTTTGCCGTTTGCCGTTTGCCGCCAGATTTTAGCAATAGCTTTGTGGGCAATAGCTTTGCGGACAATAGTCTTACGGGCAATAGCTTTGTGGGCAATACTTTGCGGGAAATAGCCTTGCCTGGCAATAGCTTTGCCTTTATAGAAATTTATCGCCATTTTCCAGGGCAGTGACATCAACGAGCTCTCTTGGTCTTTCTATTTGGCAGCTATTGCCGTTGTTTTCTTCATTTCATCCGTTCTACTCAGCGCTTGTTCAAAGCCGCCAATCGAATACGAAGTTGTCAGTGTGGTTTGAGAATTTATCAATAATTTTCTATCTCTATCCGGTCATTCTCAATTTCTGTTTTCATTTCGATTTCGATTTCGATTTCGATTTCGATTTCGATTTCGATTTCCATTTCGATTTCCTCTTTTACGGGTGCTCTTTTATCGGGTTGTTCTTTCTTTTTTTTGAGATAATATCACAGCTTTATTTTCATTCACATTCAATTAAAGTCTTTTTTCTCATCACAATAAACCTGTCTCAAAATGTCACAGATGGATTTTGCGCGAAAGATTACATGGTAATCAACTGGGGCTCAACTGGAGCTCAAAAATTGTAAACACACCCTTTCCCGTGCACGGAAATTCTCGTTTTAGCATCGATTTGTTTCCATTTTCAAATACAGAGTACACATTTGGCTATAATTTGTGCTTAAAAAGCGTAAAAGTGACCTTTCTAGTGCACCGGAAGGCTAAATATTTGAAATATTTGAGAGAAATGTGGAGCTAAGTGCACCAAGAAAGATTGGCTTACAAAAGTTGAGCACAAAGCACACAAATACACAAATAAATGTTAAATAAAGCTTAAAGGAGAATTGTATTCACTATATTAAACAATATATAAACAATCAAATCGATATTTAAAACAAAATGACTCTGAGGTAAAGCCTACGTTGAAGATTTGAATCAAAAACAAAGTGACAGGAGTCAAGAACCGTTTAAAAAGAGACAGGAGTCAAGAACCGTTTAAAAATCAAATGATAGGCAAAAAGATGAATTAAACTAAACAACGGTACTCCTTGAGAAACGATTCACTTTTGGTAGCGGTGGATCATCGATAAAATCAGCCGACAAAACACTATCCGTTTCGGTCGGCTCATTTTCCTCTTGACCAGCACGAATAAATCTGAGATTCTATGCATTGATGACTTTCAAATTATTCTAAAGCAGCTAAATAAGCAGCTAAAGAAATGATAATCTTAACAAAATGATAATCTTCTAATAAGCAGCTAAAGAAACAATGATAACCTTAACATAATCTTAACATAATCTTAACAAACGACAAACAAACGATTTGAGGAAATTCTGAGGAATTCCCGTTTGAAAACGTTTGTTTTTTGAACACCCTGTATAGAGTTGTGCTCTAGAAAATATGATTTTCTCAAAAAGCAAACTAGTTTTACAGTTTTTCGTTTAAATTTTTCAAATCTACAGACATTTTTTCACTAGATTTATGAGTTTTTGTAAAGATTTAAAACTTTTTAGTGTTTAAAATAACAATTAAACTGTTACTTAAAACAAAAGTGTCAATTTAAAAAGGCTTATTGAAGGATTTTTCAATTGAAAACAGGTTCAAATAGGTGAGCACGATGACAGTTTCCCTCAAGCGCACTACAATGGTTCTTTTTGGAGAGCTAGGTGGCTCTGATCAGGATGATTTAGGTGTAGAAATGTTCCCCACAATATCAAAAAGTGGAAAGCCGAATTGTTGACAGGAATTTGACCCGAAAACCTAGAAAGAAGATCCGTTCCAAATCAGGACCGATTCAAATAGGTAAGCACGATGACAGTTTCCCCTCAGCGCACTACAATGGCTCTTTTGGAGAGCTAGGTGGCTCTGATCAGGATGGTTTAGGTGTAGAAATGCTCCCCAGGATTTCAGCTTCAAAATACTATATATAAGTCGAATTTTGATCTGGGTTTTAGCTGAAAAATCAAGCTGCTTTTGTAAAGTGTGCGGGAATTTTTTTTCGATCACCCTGTAAATGCTTTTATCAAAAGTCGGCTTGATCAATTTTGTTTTGTTTATGTTTATTGCTGTTTATTGCTTTCGTAAAACTTCTGACCTTCCAATCAACGGTATCCCGCCAAAACATCGCATAAAGAAAGCGTCCCAAAAGCGAAACGATCGGAAACAACGCGGTACACACTTCCAAGTGCGTAATGATGGAGGTAGAGATTTTGCAAATCGCACCTGGAATATGAGAAATGTTTGACTTTAGTTAAATATCCGGGGTAGGCTAATTTCCGCAAATTTGTTTGCGCAATTGGGTCATTTGCGCAATTGGGTCATTTGCGCAACTGGGTCGTTTGCGCAACTCGCCATAACTTTCTTCTAAGTGAGCCAATCTTTATGATGTTGCTTTCATTTTGTAGATCTCAATAAATGTAACAAAATGACACCAAAATCATAAAGATTGGCCGATTTAGAAGAAAGTTATGACTCATCTAGTTCATGACCATCTTCCTTTCGACTCTTTTGATCAATAACTCTCTTCTCAGTGGGCCAATCTTTCTGCTCTTTGTGCCATTTTGTAGATCTCAATAAATGTAACAAAATGACACCAAAATCATAAAGTTTGGTCCACTTAGAAGAAAGTTATGGCGAGTTGCGCAAAAGGGCTCAGTTGCGCAAAAAAAATTGCGGAAATTAACCTACCCCAAATACCCTCAATCCGGTCTTCCGCTCTTTTTTAAGTCATGTCCCAAATACCGTAACCCTCTCTGATTCCGCCATTTCATTTCCCCTTTTTACGCACGAATTTTTCTCTCAGAGTTTCCGTTTGGCGTCTCTTTCTGTATGGTTCTTTAACGCATTTTCTTTAACGCATGCGTTTCTTCTGTATTTATGTCACCAAGCTCTATCACCAAGCTCATTTCACTTCAAACAAAGCCTCACTACTATAGTTTCTCTTGTAAACACACGCCAGTCTATCAGCACCAAGGATCTTTCAACCACTGATAGACTGGCGTGTGTTTACAAGAGAAACCATGTAGTAGTGAGGCTTTGTTTGAAGTGAAATGAGCTTGGTGATAGAGCTTGGTGACATAAATACAGAAGAAACGCATGCGTTAAAGAACCACACAGAAAGAGAGGCCAAATCACAATCACTTTCATCCACTCGCAAGGCGACTTACTTGATTGACGGAGTCACTGTTTAGATAACAGCTTGTTTATCTACCCACGGCCTCCTCAAACTATCGGAAACTGGCACTATCGAGCCTGAGAATTGCCAAAAGTCCTCAAACTCTGATCATTATGATCTTTTATCTTATCAGCTTTTATCAGCACTTTCTCTTATCTATTGCATCAAAGTACCTGCAAATAATTGATAAAACCAATCAAAGCGATCACTCCAAAAAGCTCGGCCAAGAAAAGATAAAGGAGAAAATCAGGGCCCAACGATAACGCGAAAACGATCGCTGGAAGGATGATGAAGAGGCCGATTATGTAGATCAAGATAAACCAACGATACTGAAAGTTTTTCTGTTTCTGGACACAGTTTTAAGAATATCAAGTGATCGCTTACCTCAGCAGTCGCATTTCCCAAGCGTTTACACAAGAAAATCGGCACTTTTCTTGTCCATGGGATCACGTAAAACATTGTTGTGCCCATCACATTGTAGATAACCGAACACATCGCCATGTGTAGGGTTCTGAAGATGATCTTTGTGCGAGGGTTTTGTGTGAAACTTTAGAAACTTCTCAAATCGTGCCTCATCCGCGGACATTGCTGCCAAAACGGCTGAAAAGGTGGCCCCAATATTTGAGCCGAGTGTCAATGGGTAGACTTTATCGAGGAAATCACACCGATACCCACTAATGGAGTCAGTGATGAGGAGAAGATTGAATTCGATTGTAACTGAAAGCTCGAGAGATGCTTGGTTTTTGGAAGTCCTATTTGCAACTCTCAAATCATCTTTTGAGTAAACAACAATCGATTTTTGCTCAAATCAAAATCTACAACGCAATAAACAAACCAAAAGTGTGACGACCATTCCGATAAACATAATGATGTATCCGGTGAGGAAAGAGAATGGCCGAGGCACCTCTTTGTCTAAAGCTTTCCTCAATGGAACTGCCAGACGACCGGCGAGCATTTTCTGAAAGAATGAACTAGCTTTTGTGTCGTAGCTGATTCTAAATCTCAGCTGATCATGAATTTCAGCCGATTCTGAATAAGTGGATCTTTTAGCTATTCTTTTTACTCTAGAACCATGGGCATTCATTTGTGTGCATTCTTCTCATTATTCATCTTGTTTTAGATGCTATCGGAGCTCTTTGGTTACTCACTTTAATCACTATCAGTTACCTTATTTTCTCTAATAGTAGTGCACCCTGAGCGTCGTCTAAATTCCTCGAAATCTCGAGAACCGCTTATCAGAACCTATCGATGTGGGATCGGAAAATGTAGCTGACGATGAGATCTTGTGGGGGATTAGAGTGTTGAGCTTCTGCAAAAGCTTGGGAACAATAAAATAGTCATCAAACTCGGCTCGGCCGGAGGGAGGGGGAGAGGGCACTACAATTAGAGAAAATACAGAATCCCGTATTCTCTAATAGTAGTGCACCCTGAGCGTCGCCTAAGTTGCTCGAAATCTCGAGAACCTATTGAATTATCAGAACCTATCAGAACCTATCGATGTGGGGTCGGAAAATATAGCTGACGATGAGATCTTGTGGGGGATTAGAGTGTTGAACTTCTGGGAAAACTTGGGAACGATAAAATAGTCATCAAAGTCGGCTCGGCCGGAGGGAGGGGGAGAGGGCACTACAATTAGAGAAAATACAGAATCCCGTATTCTCTAATAGTAGTGCACCCTGAGCGTCGCCTAAGTTGCTCGAAATCTCGAGAACCTATTGAAATATCAGAACCTATCAGAACCTATCGATGTGGGGTCGGAAAATATAGCTGACGATGAGATCTAGTGGGGGATTAGAGTGTTGAGCTTCTGCAAAAGCTTGGGAACAATAAAATAGTCATCAAACTCGGCTTGGCGCGGTGCACTACTATTAGAGAAAATACGGTTTATCAATGCTTATAGCAATAGCAAGTCTTTGGTATCCAATAACTTTCCATTAAAGTTCAGAAGTTTAAATCTCAAAACGAACTAAAGGTCTTTAGGTAAATAACTACAAAATGATACTGTTACAAGTGGGTTTGGCCATTGAATTTATCCACTTTAGTACTTGATCTTTTATTTGTGTGTTGGCTGAGAGCTGATCTGTCTCCATGAGATCTGAGAGCAGGTGCCGAGAATTTCCGAATTGATGCATGCAAATCGATTCTGCGATCATCAATGCTATTTCTAGAGCCTATCGCTATTTCTAGAGCCTCTAGACAAAGAGTATCTAGACAAAATTATCCGGGCAAAATTATGCAGAGCACTTTTTGGAAAGGTTACTTTACTTGCTAAAATTACTGCTAAAATTACGTTTACTTAGCTGTTATAGCGCTATAAAATTGTTGGAAATAATCTTTTAAACAAATTGTACACAAAGTTTACTAAATAAAGTCCTTTTTAGAGCAATTTTTAGGTAGAGAATCGTCAAAAATGGCAGCGCGCCCGATAGGAATCGACTAGTGCTCATTGAAGAGCTCATAAAATTAGTTGTATAAGTCCAATCGGGAAACTTTTAGCAGATAAATGTAGCTAAGATTAAGGGCTACAATTCTCTATAGAATACTTGATACTTTGAAATAAATAAAGCGTGCGAGAACTACTTTTCGGAAAAGTTGTCCGGGTGATTTTGCCTAAACCTGTACAAATCAAATATGCATTACATTGCTTTTATGCTTTTACTTGCTAAAATTACTGCTAGAGTTACTGCTAGAGTTACTGCTAGAGTTACTGCTAAAGTTACTGCTAAAGTTACTGCTAAGTTACTGCTAAGTTACTGCTAAGTTACTGCTAAAGTTACTGCTAAAGTTACTGCTAAGTTACTGCTAAGTTACCGCTAAGTTACTGCTAAATTACGTTTACTTGCTACGTTGCTTTATGCTTTAAAATGCTTTTACCGTGATCAAATGCACAATTCCGCAGAGACACAGAATGAGCGAAAGAACTGAGACCACGACAATGATCACCCCAATCCACATGTCCGATAGGGAAGAGTAGGCAAAAATGTGCTTGTATGGACCTGAAAAATATTGAGAATTGGCAAAGTACAACAAAGGAAAATGAAAATGATAAAAATCACTTACAATTAGCTATCCTCGATCCATTCGGAAAGACGCATCGATTGACGAAAGTGTGATCAGGGGAAAAGTAATCTCTGGCTATGGTCGCGTTTCGAATCTCTGCTTCATTTACCTAAATGTTGCGCTTAAAGTTTTGTGCATTAGAAAAGCTTTTTACTGTTACTTGTTACTGTTACTGTTACTATTGTACATTACAAACAAGGCAACAACACTGGCCTGGATTCACTGCAAAGTGAATCCAGGCCAGTCCAGGAGCTGGCTAGCTAGTGAATCCAGTCCAGGAGCTGGCTAGCTAGTGAATCCAGGCCAGTCCAGGAGCTGGCTAGCTAGTGAATCCAGTCCAGGAGCTGGCTAGCTAGTGAATCCAGGCCAGTCCACGAGCTGGCTAGCTAGTGAATCCAGGTCAGTCCAGGAGCTGGCTAGCTCTGAGTTCACTTGATTTGGCCTTGTAAGATTGCCGTTACCCAATTTCACTCTGCATTTCGTATCAAATAATTAATCTAACCTGTAGTACGAGTTTATTGATCGGATCAGTGATGTAATCGAGAGTTTTGAAGGTGAGTCCCTTTTCAGAGACTAATGGGTCAACGATCAACCAACTCGTTTTCTCGATTACACCTGAAAGTAGAAATTTTTGTTTATCAGCTAGTTTTCAGCTGTTTATCAGCTTTTTTTGGCATTTAAAGAGTACTTGTAAATAATTCAAGCGGTAAAATGATGATAAGAGTGCAGAAATTGAACACATCGGGTAAAGTGGCGGCTGCGAAAGCTCTTCTGAAAATTGAAGTACACCGCTGGCTGACAGAGAAATACAAAGAATTTCTGATTATAAGAATTCTGAAACTGTTGTAAGGTATCTTTATAGAAAACTATGATATTTAAGCTCTATTCTCCAATCTCCAAACCTGAATTGTTCTTTATTCCCCGAATAGGCCATTGAAACGAAAGAATTGATGAGAGATGAGCCCAACTCCGAGCCGATCATCACCGGGATTGCTGTGTGAACGGTGATCACTGGAATCAGTGGAAATAGAAGCTTTGTTAGATTCAGTGGATTCATTTCTATCTAGGCTAGCCAAAAGTCAAGGCTAGCCAAGCCAAGCCAATAACAAGCCAACAAAGTTGACCTAGAATTTCAATCTTACCATTGGATTTTATTCTAAAAGCTTCGCTTTTGCTTGGCTTGCCCTGGAAACTTAGCCAATCCGCTGACAAGTACTCAAAGTAGACATAGTTTTTGGTAAAATCAGATCGGATCGGAGCGGATTGGGTTAGGATGATCGGACCTATTGGATCGGAGTGGATTGGGCTGCCGGATCGGTCGAACCTATCGGATCGGATTGGGCTAGCCCGATTGGTCGAACGGATCGGATTGGGCTACCCGACCGGTCGAACGGATTGGAACGAATCGTGCTAGCCCGATTGGTCGAACGGATCGGATCTGGCTAGCCCGATTGGTCGATCGGATCGGATCGTGCTAGTCCGATTGGTCGAACGGATCGGATATGGCTAGCCCGATTGGTCGAACGGATCTGGCTAGCCCGACCGGTCGAAGGGATCGGATTGGGCTAGCCCGATTGGTCGGACCTATTGGATCGGATCGGTTCTGATCCGATTCGATTCGATAAAGCCCGATCCGACCATGTCTAACTCAAAGTACTTACTATTCGCAGCCACCATACTGACGAGAACGGTCACAGTGGCGGTGGGACTTTGAAGGACAACCGTTGTAACCATGCCCAAAATGAGACCCGAGATCGGATCTTGGAGAAGTGGGGAATCTTTGATTGCATGACCTGGAATTGATAATGAAACATCAAACAAACATCTTTTCCTTTCTTCTGGGCACTATAAACTACAAAAATGATTAGCTGTTACGCTACAAATGCTTCTAACTTGCTTTATAACTGACGGATTGTGATGATCTATAGCTCAAAAGATAGAGAATCTCAAGAGCTTTCAAATGGATTAAAGCACATCCAAAAATATCAATGCTAAAGAAAGTTATAGTGACTAGAACTAGAAGCTAGACTAGAAACGGACCGTCGAAGTGATCGAATCAGGCTGCAAACCAATGTAACTTTCTTTAGCATTGCTATTTTTGAGCGCGCTTTAGTCTATTCGAAAGTTTATGCTAGTATTTTATGGTATTTTAGTACCCATATCTTTTTCTCACCTAATCCAAAACTGCCAATCAACGAGAAAGCTGTGGCGATTTGAGCGAGCGAGCAAATATAGACGAAAAGAATGAAAAGAATTGTTAATAAACGGAGAAATGTGGCGATGATGAATAGACGTTTTTCACTTGATGGTATCTCTGAAAGAGATCTCTCAATTCTCTGAATCTTTTGCACTCACCACTCCATTCTTTGACTTCATCCTCTTTCCTTTTCGAATCGCGTCGCCGAAATTTTGGTACCGGTAAGTCTACGTCGGAAACCTTCATGCATAGGTCTGAAAGTTTCAACTTTCAAGTTTTTGATAGATAATTTCAACAAAACAACCAATTACAAGATACAACAATAGAAATCAATAGCCATAGATTACCAAAATTTACCAAAATGTGCCAAGGCTAAGCCCAGTTGGACACGAGCTTGACGAGCTCCAACTCCTAACGGAGCTTGACGAGCTCCAACTCCAATTGGAGCTTGACGAGCTCCAACTCCAACTGGAGCTTGACGAGCTTCAACTCCAACTGGAGCTTGACGAGCTCCAACTCCGCTTGAAGTTGCTTGAAGTCCAAGCAAACAAGCCTACTATGCGATGTTCTCCAAATGTACAAAATGCGACTTGCACGTGGTTCTAATCTGCTTTTGTTTACTCTAATCCTAAAGCTAGAAACCAAAATCTGGCCTGGCCCAGAAATCTGGTCCAGAAAATAGCACAGAAACTGTGGTTCCGGATTTGCTCTTGCCTACTCTAATCCTGAGCTAGAGGCCAAAATCTAGCCCTGATTTGGCCCAGAAAATAGCACAGAAACTGTGGTTCTCATATGCTTTTGTTTACTCTAATCCTAAAGCTAGAGACCAAAATCTGGCCTGGCCCAGAAATCTGATCCAGAAAATAGCACAGAAACTGTGGTTCCGGATATGCTCTTGCGGACTCTAATCCTAAAGCTAGAGGCCAAAATCTGGGCCTGGTTTGGCCCAGAAAAGTGCACAGAAACTGTGGTTCTGGATGTGCTCTTGCCTAACTCTAAAGCGAGAAGAGTCTATCGCTGACCTGGTCAGGTTCGAACCGTTTTCAAGAAGTACTCAAACAAGAAGTACTCAACTCTATGAAATCTGTATCTAGTTGATGCTAAACCGGCATGGTAGCTAACTCCGCCCCTTTTTCGATCCGTTTGCCGTTGGCAATCTACATATTTTGCTCGTATCTTGATCGGATTTGTTTGAAAGCCGTTGAATTTGCTTTCATTCGACTCGAAATGAAATTTTCTATCGAATCAAAGCAAACACAACGCAATAAAGCAAAAAAGCAAGCAAATTCAACGTTTTTTTAAACAAACCCGGTCAAAGTACAAGAAAAAGCGGCAGAGTTAACATGGTTGGGACTAGACATGGCTAAGAATGTTTTGGGGTTGCTCCCGTTTGGAGAGTCATATCAGCTCATTGAAATTTGCTAGCAATCTAAAACTTTTTCTATCAGAAAGCCCAGATTATCAGCTTTATTTTGATACCAAAAATTACCTAAAAGTCTTTAAAATATTACTCAAAAGATCACATTAAACCTTTAAATTACCACCCTTAACGAGGCCTTGTATCGATAACCTTTTTAGAGTACTTTTTAAAAGATTTTTATTGAATGTTTGGTATCAAAATGAAGCTGATAATCTAGACTTTCTGATAGAAAAAGTTTTTGTTTGCTAGCAACTTTCAATGCGCTGATATGACTGGTTAAACTTGAAGCTTCGTGAAGCCTCGTTAACAAGTCTAGCTGCGACTATGGTAGCCAGGCTATCGACTTGTCTCTTTTTGACTGGGGAAAATTTATTTTCTGACATTCTCAAACTTTAACTCTCGCTCTGTCGTCACTTAACTTACCCTTTCACTTTTAATAAACCTCTAAATCATTGAAAGTCTAACTTTTCTAGTCTAACCGCGAGTAACATTCTGAGATACTAATCAACTTGTGTTGCTGTGAGCTGTGAGGCTAGAGCTGTGAGGCTAGAGATGTGAGGCTAGAGCTGTGAGGCTAGAGCTGTGAGGCTAGAGATGTGAGGCTAGAGATGTGAGGCTAGAGCTGTGAGGCTAGAGCTGTGAGGCTAGAGCTGTGAAAATGAACCAGGCTAGAGCTGTGCAATGAAAAAAACGCGAAGACGGCTGTGTGCCCATGAATAATGTCTAAATAAAGAATAAAGAGAAGAAAGAATAAAGAGAATAAATGAAAAAATGAAAATGAAATGCATAAGAGATGTCAGGAGCGGTGGAACCGTGCTGTGATGCGCTTACCCGAGCCAAAGAACCCAAAGAACCCAAAGAGCCAAAGAACCCAAAGAACCAAAGAACCCAAAAATCTGCAACTATCTGCATCAAAATACTACCAAGTGGCCAATCAGAAAAAAAGCTTTGACAAGTAAAAGTGACGACAAAAATCACCGAGAGCACTATCTGTGAAAAGCTCAAACTTTTGGGGATAGCGAGCTTTTTTTCACACATTCACCACTCTTTTTCGGCCTCAAATTGGGGGATTTTTCGCTTTTGTGGGTTTTTTTAACGATCAATGTGAATTCGGAAAAGGAA